TTTGAAAAGGGAACGAGGAGACAAGGAGGGCGGAGGCGGAGTACGAGGTTATCGACCCACGCGCGAGGGCGAGGTGGGCGAAGGAGGAAAGGAGGGAGGAGAGGAGAAGAGGCGGCGGCGGCGGCGGGAGGAGGCGATAGTGGTTGATTTGAGGGATGTATGAGTGTTTATGAGCACGAGTTGGTGCGTCACACTCGCCTAGGCTGGTGCATCTTACTCGAATAGGCGCAGGTACGGAGGTGGTACACAGATGACAATTCATTCAATTTCAGGCATACAACCCATCAAACCAGATCCACTCTTCACAACTTCTCCTTCTGCACCACTTGCAGACTCGACATAGCGTTCATTTCTTGCCGCATTTGCACTGGCCGGCCTATGCGGGATGAGAGACGTGTATGGGAGTGGGGGAGTTGACGTACCGCGCAGCTGCAAGCATCGCCGCACTTGCAATCGTCGTTCCCGCAATGGGTGTTCGGGTAATGTCAGCAACCTGTGCGCCAGCTCGCATCAGTTTTCAATTCCACACAAGGCAAGGGGACATACAGCCATTACGTTCGAATTCAAGAATAGTGAATGTGGTGAGATGCGCTTACTATAAGTATCCCAGCGTGGGGTGGAGTGGCGTGTCGGTTGTCGACAGTCATTTCACCCCGCCAACCCTCTACTAGTAATGAGGTGGCACTATGGACTGTCTACACCGCACCTCTATGGAGGTCGTGACGGGACAGCTCATTAGTTAGGGAAGCGCCACCCTCGTTACATTCTTTCTATGCGGATGTGAACTGCATAGCGTTGAAAATTCATTTGGTCGGTCGCAGATAAGTTGTGGAGGAAACGTGTTCGATGTCTTGGTTTCTGCCATTAATTCAAGACCGTCCGGTAAGATACATCGAAGCTGTGTCTCGTCAGCTGTACGCCACAAGAGTTCGTTCAGAATGGACCAAACCAGCCGGCAGGTGATCGCAAAATGGTACGTGTCGCTCACGTTGAAATACTCGGCGATATCGAGAATAACTGAAGACACGATGGGTAGGCGTTTTGAGAGCCATCGTACACATGCGCTGATGACCAACGGGGAGGTACTACGTCTCATTGGAGCGTCGCTAGAAGCGCTCAGGGTGGGAAAGGTGAAGATGGGCTAGGTAACAAACGATTTGAGAAAACGAGGAAAGCGGAAATTGAAAAAATAAGGATACAAGCGGTGATCCGCCAGTACTGGCACTCGCAGTGGGATGATATGCGCAAGTGCAACGGAGAAGTCATGTTCTGATTTTCCACCTCATCACCGAGCAACAAGTTCGGGCAGTACTACACGCCGATGAACGGTTTTGTGCGAAGCACCCCAAATCCCACCCTCCCCACCTAATCTACCAGTACTTTCAACAAAACACAAACTGCAGTTATCCTGACCCAGACAACGGAGAAATGGATCAACTTGCACCACGGTGACGCCCTAACCAGCGTTGAATTCCTCAGCGATCCCGTGCATCAACTGCCATTAAACCGCTTCTTCCCTCTTGCTATTGCACATCATCCCCGTGCAAGTGCTGGAGCTTCCCCCGCACATCATCCCGGTGCAAGTGTTGTTCGTATTTGAGCCGCACATCATCCCCGTACAACCGCTACTAGAGCTTCCTCCGGAACCACCACCCATCATAGCTGAAACAATCATGTCAGACGTCAATTTCGCCTTCCCTTTGGGCATGGGACATACGAACAGATTGGACGGCAGCGATGCCGAACGAGAGGATGGCGAGAAACGTTGCGGTGATACGCATATGCATGTCGTTGTACGTTATGGAGGGTTTATGACCAGTGGACTTGCCTGTCGTTAAAGGAACGACACTTCTGAGTTAAATGTGTTTTCGAACCGGCCATCAACTTGGAGGGGGAGAAATTCTGGAAAAACCTCGCATCCCGCCCTACAGTCAAATAGAACTAACGAGAGCAATTATGGTCCAACCCGCGGTACGTTTTACTGATCGAAAGGGGCTATCAGATTGCATATCCATGCTCAAACGGGGATCTGAAGTTGGTGAAAAGAAGACGGATTGCTGGCTATACACCGTGGCCAACGATAGGATAATTGTTCAGTATGAGGATAATAAGCTATCAGGAGTAGGCTTCGCAGATGAGGCGAAGAAGCATTCTGGACGAGAACGAGGCATTATGGCTCATCGACTTTGAGTATTTCTATTCGTCTACCTATGCAGCTTGTCGTCCGTTGAATACTGCCGCATTCTGCCGATATCCGACTGGCCAACCGTCTCAACAATGGCAGTTTTATCCAGGTTGTGTAGGTATACAATGTGCAGGTATATTGAGAATCTTTGACAAAGCTGAATAGATCATAACGGATGGCATTGGACCGGTGCTTGAGTTTCATGCATCTGAAAATTATCAGCATAACGAAACCGTGCAATACACTGAAACCTACAATACGAGGTGCCGCTGATAATCGTCTGCAGCGCCTGCATTTGCTCTTCATCGAACATATTCTTATCTGTATGCCACGTGTCCTATCATTCCACAGGTGAGTTACATTGTTGTCAGGAAGACAGGGGGCCGTTACCTGATGCGTTCTTCGGAAGTTTGCGGCACACTTGCGTACAGTGGTGGAGATTGGTGGTTTCTCATAACTTTGCTCGGCTAGAACGGGAAGCAGGGAAGGAAGCCAGTTGGGCACCGTGTAAGGATATGCGTCGATGAGGGCCGTCAATCCCAGTACACCTGCATGGAGAACACGCAAAGATGCGCTGTAAACCGCATCTGTCCGCGGAGGAAGTCTGACATGGTGGACCGCGGTCACGAAACGTGCCTGGATCTAACGTGAGTCTTCGTGGTACGATTCGAATATGGGCCTTTGAACCTTTAGATCCAAAATACTGTGGCGTTGTGAACAACGGATTACCCCAGACAATGTTCTTCACGCGAAGCATCAGCTTGAACAAAAGACAACTCATAATGCCACTCACTTCGCCGCCATCTCCCGTACTTCGATGGCTTCATCCTCCAGACATTCTACAAGCACATCCAGTACACGGATGCTGCATTCATCGCTAAGGATGGGCAGCTGTCGGAAGTAGAAAACCTGCATGATAGGTAGTACTTGTAGTCGAACCCTCCATGACTTGGGATAAATTGAATACCCGAACTTTCCAGGAAAGAAAGACTACTCACGGGAGAAGTCCGAACAGCTTCAATAAGGGCATCCATCACTGGTTCAACGTATTGTACAGAAGGGGTGACTGCAGAAAGGATGTAGAGTAAACCAATGGCGTAAGAGCGAAGGTCGGACGAATCCATCAACTCGCTCATGCGTAATGCTTCCTGCCTAGGAAAGGATCGATCTTTAGTCGCGAACTGCCTAATACGAGGAGACTCACATTAAGGGTTGCATGTATGGGTAAATAGAAGGTGCAACACTGCTATGAGCTCGCAACCAGATCCACTTCATAGCTGGATAGATAGTTGGTAACAGCCCCGACGGATGACATAATGATGCTCACCGCTTAGGCCAACTTTGTCATACTCAGATTGATTGACTTTGGGTCCTGACAGGCGTGTTTCTTTCAGTTTTGGTAGGATATCCGCCAGACTTTCAACCCGCTTTAGCTGAGCGGGATTGACAACGGACAACGCATCCACTCCATGCTTCCTACAAGCATCTGCAAAGGTGTGGACATCACTGTACAGTGGGTGCCACTGCAGAATACAATAAGCATAAAAAGGTAGTTGACGCCTTTAGCACTCACTTGGATATTCAAGAAAATTTCAATATTCGCAGCTACTTGCGTGCGCACCTGCACTTCGATCAACAAAGGTCAACAATTGGGGGAGAAGATAGAAGGTACTTCGGCAAATCCCGATCCTAGATTCTTCCACGAGAGGTCGAGGAATCGAGATGTCCAGGGCTCAAATTTCATGGTCCATGCAGCCCCGACAATGCCGGCTGCAGCTACGGCGTTACTGACTAGATATGAATTTAGCCTCAACTAGAAAATGCATACTAAGTGTGGAACTTACTCTTGAAGGCAGACTCGCCAGCGAAGTCGACAGCAAGGCCTCGGTCAATAACAAAGTTAAGCCCAGCGCAACGGCGGGGGTCACGATCCGACAAAACAATGGTCAAGAAGTACTCCCAGTAATTTAAGGTGTCAGGCGTAATACGGTCAAAAATGCCAGGTAGCTTTGGAGTAACCCAATCCCACAGCTGCTTGGTCGATTTCCTTGGCCAATTCTTGCTCCCGCGAAGAACGCCCGCTAACATTTCTGCGGCAGCCCTCTGCTTGAAGCGGTCCTTATCATCCATCATAGGCTCTAACACGGTAATAGCACGTCCCATGGGCTCATCTTCCAAGACCTTGAAGATACGCATGATGAAGCGCACGTTATCGTGCCGTGCGTCTTTGCCGCTGCCACTAGACTCCTGCGAATATAGATTTGCTAGTCTATTGAACCATTGGTCATCGACGACGGCCCGGATAGCGGCAAGTGTTGGATGGCTGTCAGGCTCCCATTCGAACCCGGATTCAATTTCCGGTGCAGGCTTGTAGGCGTCGACCGATGCAGTCATTATTAGAACCCCACTTGGGACCTTGTCATAGAGTGGGCTGGGATAAGAGTGAGAGGACACACGGAGCATTATCGCTGTACCCTCACCCGTGGTTAGATGTCTCATTCTCCCAGAAAGTTTCCGCGCTTGGGTATGGCGCCTTGATTTTCAGCGGGTTCTGGCCCGACTCTATGAACAGCTGCCGCGTGTCTTGGGCCATCGTTCTCAGTTTGATCAATTCCAATACCTTCTCCAGGGCCCTGTTTGTGCGTCAGTGACTTCATTCTATAATATCGCACGGAATCGTACAGTTGAGAATACCGTCTGGTACTAGGGTTATCTGAAGCAACGTTTTTGGCAAACAGCGCTGCTACCTCAGGATTGGTGGCTCGATCTCGCCGTAACAGAACGCGTAAAAAGCGTATTGCCATCTGACCATATCGCCAATGAGTTGTGGGAGCGTTGCCTACAGCGACAATCTTGTCCAACTTGTCCAACATGAGTCCAGGTACCTCAATTCATAGCAGATCACTACGTACGAGATCAATGTAGGCAGACTCTTTTCGCTTCAAGTTCTCCATGGCACACGCCTCAACTGCAGCGATCAATACCTCATTCTCGCCGGCAATCAGACTCGTCAGCCTGATATCATTGACAGCTTTATCCAGGATGGGCAATACGACATGAGGATCCCGCATGACCGTGGCGGATACCGCCTCCGGTAGTGCCGCAAGAACTGGTCTGATGTTAACAGCTGGTCAGAGAGAACCATCTTATCTCACTTTCTTGAGCAATTGAAGATACAAGCTGCTGGATTGAAGGCTTGATGACACCGTCAGCTTCCGTTACATAGAACGCGTCCATGCATTCACGCGCACCTTCTCCTGCCAGGATGACTCAAGGACAGCCATCATGTACCGAGCCTGAAAACGCCAATCTGCGAGACTTCATGAACGAACTTGGGTAACCTAGGCGTGAGGACTCACTCTGAATAACGAAGGCAGCTATGTAGCGTCAGAATCTGCACGCTGTGTAGGATTTGAAGAAACACATACTGGTCGTCTTCTGCCCGAGGACGTGCAACGCTCCTTTCATGCGATCGGGATCTGTGCCCGGATTCAAGGCTTCGAAAACTTTCGGCAGTATGAAATGCGTAGAGCGAACATAAGTCTTACAAGATGTTGGCTTCATAAAATCAAAATGAAGGCTGGCTCACAGTCGAGAGAGCTAAAAGCACTGATTGGCCCGACCTGCAAGTAGATAGATTGTCAATCAGTGAGCAAGACAAGATATTACTGGCACTCACTTCCTGACACGGGTGTAGGGTGAGAGCGAAAATTCTGTGAGCACAGAAATCAACCGATCATCCAGCTCGGATCGCTTCCGGAATAGAGAATGCTGGTACTTCCTAGCCAGGACATGAAGGTATGCTCGTCGAACCCAGATATGCCGGGGGAAGGTCTTCTGTTTAGGCCAGACACGAGTGAGTTCACGGGTGACGTTGTATCGCTTGTGGTCGCTGTCGTATGTGGACCGCTGGACACCGTACTCCGTCATGTATCCATCAATCGCGCGAACGATTTGTGTTACAACATCCTAAGAAACCCTTGAGTGCTCATACCAACCTGACCACGAAAGCTGCTCACAGTGAAATCCTCATTGCCGGAGTTCAGCAAAGACAAGGAAGCACGATGAAGTACCTCGCCCCATGCTTCACGCAGTGCCACAACCTTCTGATATCGTGGATCCTTGGGATCCGTCAAGACAAAGCAGTCTTGTGGGTGTGGACCCTGAGGAGAAAAGTGCTGAAGGTCGACCTTAGGATCCATCATATCCATCCCGCCTTCCTTCGCAGTCTCTTGATACAACGAGCCGAGTCCAGCCCAAGTTGCCTTGGCAGCCGCGGTGAAACGGACAAAATCGTTTCTCCATGCACTGTCGCGAGTTGCGTCCTCAGCCAACAGCGCGTCAAGCTTCTCAGTCAGAGGTTTGATGAGCTTCTCCAGAACATCCAAGATGAAAGCAGTCTCTTCATCGAGCGGCACATGCCACTTGATGTTTACTTCTTCGGCCTTATACGTCTTTCCCCAATACTTGTTGTGCCTCTTCTGAAAGTCTGTAATGAATGAGCACTGAGCCCATCACACCAAATCAGCACCGTACGTGCCTTCACTGTCGAGTTCTTCTGGATTGACAAGATTATACTCTGCAGGATAGACCGTCGAAAGAGCACCCATGACCTTGGTGATGATTCGTGAAGTGTATGAATAGCCTCGTTCACTCTTTGCTTTCTCAATCAAAAGCGCCAAGAGATCTATGACCTCGTCCTTGATCTTCAGCAGCTCCGGGCAGCTGAAATGGAATGCGCCCCTCAGGATAGACAGATCTAGGTACAGGGTCAGATCAGGTATTGAACCCCGGTCAAATTTGCTCACTCCAATGCAGCGCCGTATCACCAGGCACACCCACGCCACTGCTCGTGCTCCGGATACTACTTGCGCCATTCTCGAGCTCCTCTCTGACCCTATTCCTGCAAAGCGGCCAGAAACGCTTGATCGTCTTCCCAGGATCCGCCTTAGCCAAGCTAAGCACGAGGTTGCCCACCGCGCGCACGCCGTTAGAGCGCACAGTTGTCTTCGCGTATTGGTATATCATCTCGAGGACGAAGTCGAACAGCGTGGGCGAGAGGTGCGAACACAGTACATCAACAGAGGATTGGACAGACTTAAGCACGTTGTCTTCCGACTTGCCGCCTGTACGATTGCCCCGCCCGCCCTCTTCGGGCAGGTTCTCGATAAGCGTGAAGACACGTTCGATGTACATCGTTACCCAGTCTTTTCTGAGCTCAGCCATATGCTCTTGAAGGAACTATATGCGCTCACCTGCAAACGCAGCACTGCTATTCTTCAGCGCTCTCTCTTCTTCGGAAATCTCCACTCCATCGAGGTCGACCAAGCTCAGATCGGATATATAGATCTGCTGACAGATAGCCACAACCACCAAAGTGCTACACATTGTCTTCCCCGGATCATTGAGATCGATGCCAGGTAGACACAGCTCAAGCAAAGGAGCAACATGCTTCCCGGCATCTTTCCACAAACTGCCGTTCACCAGAGGCGCCGCTACTGCAGCAGTAGCGCTCATCACTGCAGTCGTCCGGTGCGTCTCGTTGATCACTTCCAAACCCTCATATGCCCGCTCCACAAGTTCAGGCATGATCTCCCCCGGTTCCAGCAAAGCCATGTTACGCAGAGCGAGCTGGGCGTTGAGCACGCTGACAGGATCTTTGGAGAACATCGCTAGCAGTGCGACGGTCTTGAGCGAGCGGACAAGAGAAAGCCGCATGAGTGGGGTGAGCCGCCGCTCAGGTGGCGTTTTGCAGTGCTTTCGCTCTTCTTCTTTCGTACGCTTCAGGAACTCGTACGTAATACGGTTGATGAAGTTTGTCAGGTCGACAGTCCAGACTCCGGCATTAGATGGGTGGAAGAAGGATTCGGTAGAGGTGATGAGTCGATCAAGACTCTCGAGCGCCTTGGACCCACCAAGATAGCCCTTGTTCGCCGCTCCCCCGCCGAGGGAGGCAGGCATTCCACTGGCGATAATGCCGTTCGGAGTAACGGTGCCGCTTGGGCCTGCCCCACTCGTGGCACCCTTTACCGGTCCATCGGGTGCCATGGAATAGACGATGATCTTGGACAGGGACTGGATGGGGGAGCCAGGCCGGTGCAGACGCTGGGCTTTGGTAGATGAGGCAAGGTCAGCATGCGCTGCTGTGCTCGAGGAGCCTGAGGATCCTGCGAGGGGCACATCTGCGCGATATGAGCTGGAAGCAAAGCCTGAAAAGGAGAAACACACTCAATGCCCTCAGGCATTTGCCCATAATCCTCCTCCAAGTCTTGTCCTGCCACATGCCTACACCGTCCTGCCCCTCTCTGATCCGCACCCAGTCCCCACCTTCTCCGCGCTCGTCTGGCTCTATATGGCGCACAGCGAGCGTAGATAGGAAGGAGAGCATCCGCTCGTCGATGATGGCACTGTTTAGGGACTCCCAGATGGTGAGCAGAGGGGGAAGGTAGCGTTCAGGCTCAGTGCGGGGTAGGAGCGCGAGAAGAGGACCCATGTGCAGGAGGTAGGTCTGCACCGGTCATCGGTCAAAGGAAGCAAGTTGCTGAAACAGGGAAGGGACTCACATCGGGAACGGTTATATTCAGCTTTGAAAGGAACGTCTCCAGAAGAGGGGTGATCTCGGAAGCGGGGATGAAGCGGTTAATGTTCCCACACGCATGCAGGTATATGCTTGCCAAGCTCCTGCACCAGCCACATATCAGCCTTCACAACACAACCAGCGACGGTAAAGACTCACGAGGTGGAATCGGCCCTTCGATCAAGCTTATACTCTCTCTGCATCAACTCCCACAGCGGCCTCCAGTCGGGCTGCCAGTCCTCGATCGCGAGGCGCTTCCTATTCTCGATCAAGTTGTACAGACTTGAGGCGAAGGCGTGTATGAGGCGGCCGTCGATGCCGGGGGTAGTGAGGAGGGCATAAAAGAGGGCTGCGAGCTTAGCACGCAAGGGACGGGAAATAGGATACTGGAGCATGTTCCAACTACATTTCGTACATGGTTATCCTACAAGTTGAGAGGCTGGAGGAAAGGAACGTACCACTGCATGATCCCTTCCCAATTAGCGACAAGACCCCAGTCTCTAGCCTTGACAGCATCAAGAATCTTTCCCACGATCTCTCCAAATTGCTGCATCATTTCCTCCTCACTCTCCGGTCGCAGAGGGGTGCTCTCACGGTGAATACGACAGGTCCTAAAGTAGTGTTCGTCGTACTTCGCGTGTATTTGCTCAACCGTGAGATTCTCTTCAGAATCACCTGCTTCTCCGTCGGGCGCACGGTCCCCGGTAGGTGTAGGCACGTCCGTGTCGATCTCCATCTCAGGTTCGCTCACCGGCGTCGCAGGTTCTGAATCCATGTTCTTGGTTGTTAACGTACGCTTCGTTTCCAAATGGTTCTGTTGATTTGCCTGAATAGTGTTATATATGATCGAATGAGAAGGGCCGCGCGTCGGTACACGCAATACGCAGCTGATGAGCACTGTAGAAATGTCGAAGTGTTGAAACTGGTACACGCGTCCCCTTCGAATGTATTGACTAGCTGGTTGCTCCTGATTTGGACCTTACAGATGCCTCCGCGGACCACGCGGACCATCTGCGCCGTCCATCTCGGGCGGCGACAACGACGACTTGCTCGAGCTCGTCGTCTCCCCTGGCAAGAAGACAGCGAGCAATGGCATCCCGCGTAGCCTGGTCACTACTCCGCTCTCCGGTGCTCCCAGTATCCGTGGTGCTCTTCACCGCGCATACATTGTACCGACCTCACGTAGCACTCGATGCACCTCCCAAACCGAAGCGTGCGAAAGAGCCCACCGCGTCAGAGCTCTTTCCTCCTACGCTTCCCCATCCGTCAGGTGCTACGCTCACTCTTCTGGGTACGGGAATACGCACCGTGACGTTCATGCGCATGAAAGTGTACGAAGTCGGTTTCTATGCGGATCTGAGTGAGGTCGCGCTGGAGGAAGGGGAGAAGAGCGCAGCGGAGCGAATGAAGGGACTGCTTGAGGGTGGGGACGTGCTCTTACGCATTGGTGGGTATTGTTCATATTCATCACTCTCTTCTTGTACGAATCTGACCCTCTCGTAGTACCTTCCCGGCGCACGAACTTCACTCACCTCCGGGATGGGTTCATCAAAGCCCTCCAACATCGCGTCGCGCTCCTCCCCTCCCGGCCTCCCGAATCGACCCAGCTCGCAGTAGGAAAGCTCCTCACCCTCTTCCCCAACGCGCCCATGTCCACTACTTCAACACTCGACGTGGCCTATTTCCACCCCGGGCCGACGTCAAGCCAACAGGGTACGCGGGAATGGAAGTCTAATGATGGGAGCAAGGTAGCCCGTTGGAGCTGGAAGAGCGGCAAAACTGAGGGATGGCCCGACGCATGGGTTCTGGTGGGGTGCGATGGGCGGGAGCTTGGGAGGATCGAGGACGGGTGGGTTGCGAGGGAATGGGTGTTGGCGTACTTTGATGCGAGCAGGGAGATCTCGAAAGGGGTGAGTCTTTGATCAGGGTGTAGGCCAGATGCTGATATCGATGACAGCTCAGGGACGGCGTAGGGAAGAGGCTTAATGACCTTGCTAAGGAGGGACCGGCGGTGCCCACTGGAGAAAAGCCCGTCAAGCTCAACTGGGTCTCGTAGCATGAATATGCCTTATGAAGAGAACGCTAATCACCGGAACAATGTACAACAACTTATCTCATTCTGAGCTGCTGATTTATGTCTCATCTACTGTCGATGTCAGATCCTGTCTAGCAATGGAGCATGTTTTCATCTCCTTTCCTTGCTCAATTTCTGGCCGGCAAACCGGCAATGGCCCCGTAAGAATCACCGCCCATTTATTGTGTCTCATGGTGTTCTGTTTTCACCTGGCGGCGTTTCCAGCAATATATCCTATGATGGCGAAAGGATCTCGACGAGGGTGTACAATGACCTTGATCAACGACCAGAAGTCCCGACGGGCGCTTACTCCGGTGAGGATCAACCTGACTTCACTGCTTTGCCTGTTTATTCCAGCAGCAACTCGCTCGAGGAATTCTCCCTGCGTGTCTACTGTTCATCCAATCACACCAGCCCTCCAAACAGTCAAGCCCATCTATTTCACATTCCAAGGGCTACAAGCGCAAAAGCTCAAGAGCGTACAAAAACGAGCCTACATTGGAGTTTCCTGATCCAGCACCAGCCAGCCTTCAGGGTGTCAAACATACACAATCGGCAAAAAATCACAAGTGGTCGAGGAAAGAAGAGGGGGGGGGAAGAAAGGAGCAGAGGAAGAGAAAGGGGAAGGTTAAGAGCAAGAGAAAAAGAAGGGCAAGAAAAAGAAAGACTGTATTTACATATCCTCAGAGGTGTATCCCATGCGCGGTATCCTCAAAAGCCCGCATCGAAACCCAAATGTCAGAACCCATCGACCTATACGTCCTCTTCCTCCAGTTCCTCCTCTTCTAGCTGTTCGCTCCCCGCCTCCTCCCCAGAAGCGAGCTTATACATCCCCTCCTCCCTCCTATCGAGCGGTACCTCCTTAACGAACCAAACGAGCGCAACTGCCCCGATCGCCAGGGCGCCGTTGAGCAGGAAGACAGCGCGCAGTGAGGCAGTGTAAGCTCCTATACTGGCTTGCCTAAGCTCGGGGGACAAGTCCAGGATAGCGGTCGCGTTCCGCCTGACTTCGGAGATGATCTCGGCTGGGGAGAGCGAATTGGACGGAGGGAGCGAGGAGATGCGCTGCAGGAGCTCGGAGGAGAGCACCGACTGCTGTACTGCGGAGGAGATAGCCATGCCTATGAGGTTTCCTAGGGATTGGGAGAGGAAGCGGATCGAGGTGATCTGTGCTATCTCGGTGCGTTTTATCGTTGACAGGATGGCGACTGTGCTTGAGTTAGCGTTGTTTCGCAAGGCAGAGCATGGGAGACGTACTGAACAGCGTGCCGTTGAACCCGCTACTACCAAATCGCTGGGGCATGAGGATGACCCAAGTCCACCCCTCCCACGTATGCTCGCCAAACGTGCTGAGCAAGAAGCACGGCACAAACTGCAAGACCCCCAGGCCGAGGAGTATCCCCCGGTACTTGCCTACCGTGCGCAGGTAGATTCCGGATGAGATCCCACCCAGTGCGGAGGCGACGGTGTTGGGGATGAGGTGTAGACCGGCGAGGGAGGCAGAGTTGGAGCGGACGATCTGGAGTAGCATGGGGAAGAAGAGACCGAGTGCTGCGTTCATACGTCCGTTCAGGGCAGTTCGGAATTAGGGTAGAGGGAGAACGAGAACATACAGATCATCGCTGCCGCTGCGAGCCAGACGCTGCTGAACGACGCTACCCTTTCCCAGGAATTGAACAGCGCCAACTGGACCACTGGTTCCTCGGCCCGCTTCTCGACCCACAAGAACGCGCCTGTGCATATCGCTGCTAGTAGCGCTGTCCCCCAGACCCAGGGGTGCGAGAAGGGAAGGTCCTCGTTTGTCTTGAACGCTATTGAGAACACGAGCGCTCCGATGCCTGTTATGAGTAGGAAGGAGCCGAGCCAGTCTATGCGCTTTGATACTGCGGCCCAGGACCCCGTTTGACCGGGGACGACGTAGTTCACGGAGAGGGATAAACCGAGCATGATGAGTACCAGCGGGGGGACTTGTACTGCTTGGTGTTAGTGAGAGTGGAGAAGAAGAAACAGAGGACGGACAGAGGAAGGCCCATCTCCAGCCGAGAGTGTCCGCAACTACACCGCCATATACCCCTCCTAGGCCCGAGCCGACTGCCCAGCAGACAGAGCCGACACCGTTGAGCAACCCCCTGGTGCGCAGGGTCACCACATCGGAAATGATGATAGAGCCTAGCATGCCTGACCCTCCTCCGCCTGCACCTTGCAGCTGTTACGGTCCTTGTCAGGTGCTTAGGAGCAAGGGGGGAATGAAGGACGCACAAGCCGAGCAACGATGAGCGTGTTCATACCACCCGCGACGCCACACAGAGCGCTCCCAGCCGCGAACAGCGCTAAACCGCAAACGACGGCCCACCTCCTCCCGAGGACATCACTCAGTTTCCCATATATCGGCGTGCAGCAGGCTACGCTCAGCAGGTAAGCACTGTTTAACCACGCGGCGCGGTTGAGCTGCTGGAAGCCGCTTGCTATGGGCGTTGCGAGTGTTGCTACTACGGTACTGTCGATGCCGTAGAAGAGGGTTGCGGTGTAGAGCAGGGTGAGGATGATCGCTGTACGACGGGGGGAGAGCTCGTCCGGTCCTGGTAGCCGCTCCGTGTGCTTTTCCTGCTGTCGACGAGACGGTGGGTAGCTAGGCGCCGGTTCTGGAGAGAAGTGCTTGTCCCTGCATTCTGTTGTGTGCGTCTCGCTGCCTGAAGTGTAGGCTGGCGGTGGGGAATAAGACTCGTTGTTTGCTGTTGCGTCTGAGGGAGAACCTGGAGGTGTCGATGTATCGATTGAGCTGAGGAGTGCGACCGTCGTTGGAGAACGCAAGTGCTGATGAGGTCGTTTTGCCATATTCGTCGCCTAGTCCGTTGAAAATCCTGCTGTCTAATATGTACAGAAATGTACAAAAGTGTTCTCTTGTGAACACTAACAAGAATGAAGGTGGTAGTCCGGGTACAAGGAGTGAAATGGTATAACCCCTGCCACTAGTTTACATTTACTTCTCTCCTGAGCGGGAAAATGCCGCATCGGAAAGTTGAATACATTTCGTCGAAAGACGCAATAATAACTCCCGTCCTATCATAATATTTATTCCTCCAATCATCGCCATCATTGATCACATCAAATCACATAACAATCGTTCACACACACTCGGTCTCGCCCATATTCACTAATGAATATCACCTGATTAATACACTAACTCATTCACACCTATCAATATCTTCAAAGTATCCCACATGGAGCAGAAAGTCGTGTGATCTATCGGCAACCGCTATTATTGGCTCCTCCCAGGTCCACACTCGAACATGCGCCTCTCTTCCCAGGAGTGCTTTCCCGTACGCGAACACAGTTTCCGTACCATCTATCAGTATCTGGGCAGGTTCCTATCTCGACGTTACCTGAATATTCTGTTACATGGCCTGATCTCCCTGCCACGCAACAGTCGCCCAACCCAACTTCTAACCACCTCCAACTGCTTTAGTTGGCCTATCACGCCCTGGATATCCCCTCGGCCCGATTCTTCTTGTGCGAGAGCACGTGTACACGGGGGCAAACTTTTGGCTGGCATGTCAATTAATGCTCCACTTTTGTCTGAGAAATCTAGACTGGCATATTACCTTGTGTTAAACTGGACGATATACTGCGACTCATTGTTTTTCGAAGGGCAAATTTTGGTTAAATTTCCGGAAGGGGGAGCGCATCGTTAGCCACCTAGATTTGAAAAAAGTAGATCCAAAAGAAAAGGGAACAAAGCATAGTTAGATCTTCCTGTAACAAGGCGGGCCTGCAGCGTTATAAGTTGGTCTTACGGGAATGCAGAGGTGTTAAGCCGTTCGAAATCAGAGGCAATTTTGTGCGTGGATGAAGAATGACTTCGCTCGACCTTTGGCGGTGTCCCACGAAAATATGGCAACAAAACGACCTACTGTGCTCTCGTCTAGCGCGACCTGCATATAGAAGGGCGCCCCGCCCAGTCCTGGGACCTTGGTCGAGTCACTGACATTGACAGACCGCACACTTGCTACAAGCAATCTGTAGTCATAATTGTTCTAATCATACATCATACAGTTAATGGCCATGGACTATACGGTAGAAAACACTTTCGAGAGAAGAATACGTTATCATTAAGCGTTTGGAGCAGATACGCTAAGTTCGGATTCCTTGTCGTTGTCTTTTTCCTTTTCCAGTCGCTGTGCTCAATCGGGTGCAATACGTTCGAAAAGATGGGACGACAGCAGTCCTCGATAACTCTTTCTTATTGCAAAGGTCCCCAAAGTTAGCATGATATTTCTTCACTTCCGAATCCGATCCGGAACAAGACCTAATGCGCCATCTGACCAGGCCAAAACACATGCCACACCTCGGGGAATCTGTACCCTAAAGCACTAAGTTACCAAATCACCCAGCTAACGTACAACAAAAGAGTGGTCTGAATTGCCTCCCTCAGTGATTAATGACACTGTTTGAACCGTCCCCTCCTGCTCCTACAAACACCCCCCGCCCCTCTCCCCTTCGTCTTCAGCTCCGCTGGAGATGCACGCACCGCGCGCAACCCAAGCCCTATGAGAGGAAAACGAGCCCCGCCAGGATCAACCCCGCCATCATCACCCACCCCCCCAGGCGCACCCGCACCGCCCGCGCAGCACTAGCGGCGCTAAGCCCGTTCATATCCGGGTTCACGTCCGTATACTGCCCACAAAGCCCGCTCCCCCTCAGGTCATTAGTCCGCATGAAGATGCTCGCATGTCCTCCGGAGGAATAATCTACCAACAACGTCCCTTCTGAGCCTGAGGTCACTTGTTTGCAGTAGAGGATCTCGGTCAGCGGCTGGCCGGCCATGAACCCGGTGTTGAATATCCCCATCGTGGCGTTCACGGGTGGAGATCCGCGGTTGGTCATCACCGCTACCAGAGGCCCACGAGCGATCGCGACTTCGTTACTGGACGTACCGAGGACAGTAACGTTAGACGTCAGAAAATCAGGCGCGTTCGCGATGAGGAAATTGCGTAGCTGGTTCAGGGTAGCCGTAATCTGGTAGGTGGTGGTATTGGCGTACCCTGTGGGCCAGAGCGGCTCGCGGTTGTACGGATCGGCGTTCCCCCGCAGCCCTTGTTCCTGCCCGTAGTAGACGATCGGGATGCCTCCGGCTAGGAACTGCCAGACCATGGCGTTCCACAGAGATTGGGGGTCGACGGAGAGGTTTGCCCAGCGCGGGTTGTCCTGGTTCTCGAGGAACGTGCCGAGGACGGACATGTCCTATTCCAGGGTTAGCTACATGCGCTCGGGAATGCAGGGGGAAGGCTCACTTGGTACAGCTCTTGACCCTGGTGCAGGCCATCAACGAGCCCGGAGATGTTCCCCGGCCCGGGGATGGTGAATGCCGAGACGAGATAATCATAAATAGGATAATCGAGTACCGATGCAAGTGCTCCAGGGCCTTGATACCCCGCGTTGTACGGGACGTCGCCGCCAAACACTTCGCCCATACAGAACACGCCTGCGGCAGAACAGAACCCGGGCCAGAAATCCTTGCGCACATGCTTGGCAGCGTCGATTCGGAGCCCGTCGATCTGGTACTCCTGGACGAGGGAGGCGATCCAGGTGTTGTAGATGTTGATCACGTCCTGATTCTCTGTGTTTACGTCCATGAGCGCGACGACCGTGTCTCCCAGCCAGCAATGCTCGATGCTCGTCTGGTTGGAGAAGTCGATCGGGCAGTAAGGGTGGTACATATCCGTTGATGTGAAGGCAAACTTGGATAGGTCAGGGTCGGTGTAGTTCAGGGTTATGACGTTGTTAGCGACGATGTCGACCATGAGGTACATGCCCCGTGCGTGGAGGGCGTTGGAGAGAGCTTTGAGGTCGTCTGGTGTTCCCATACGCGGGTTGAGTGCAGTCACGTCTGTACGAATCAGCATGAGCTGTCTCAACCCGTAAAGAGAACTCACTCTGACTCCAATACCCATGGTACGCATCCCCATACGGTGTCCTTGGTCCATCATAGTTCTCGCTCACGGGCGATATCCAGATGGCCGTGAAGCCCATACCCTGGATATAGTCCAGGTTGGAGATGATCGATTGCCATGTCCCGCCGCACCAGGTTTGGTCGCCAGGATTGCAGTTGGGGTTGGGGACGGTGAGGAGGTTGGGGGAGGAGGGGTCGGGAAGAGCGAAGCGGTCTGTTATTATTCTGTGCATATCCTTTGGTCAGAGTGTTCGCGGCGAAGGGATGGAGGACGCACTGGTAGATAGAACGCGAACGCCATTGTTCAGCTGTTGCTGCGTGTGCGGAGGTAGGGAAGAGGGAGAAGAAGAGAAGAGTAAGAGAGAGGAGGGATGTGATGAAAGCGAAAGAGTGCATGAGAGTTGGACAAAGGAAGGTAGATGCCTGTTGGCGAGTGGGGCGCTGCTGGAGCGGAGAGAGCGCAAAGAGGTGAAGTGCAGCAGAGATGGGGGTATTGTAGTTGTTTGCACGCGGGGATGCGACGCCAAGATGCGTTTCAGAAGAGCAGAAGGTGGACCACGCTGGTGTCCGCCCTAGTGAGTACTAGTTGACTAGCACGGTGAATGAAGAGACCAAACGAATGTTGCCTGCCAGTGAAGAGGAAGGAAGAGAGGAGTGACCCATTCCCCTCCCACACACGAGACGATGACCAGACATTTTCTCCGAGTGTCAGCACTACCACACAAACAGCGAGAATGCCGTTACCCAGAGCAGGAGACACCCACCCACAAGGTCGTCGATGTCCCATTCCGGCAAACGGCCCTCAGTAATTGATCCCGCACCGGACCTCACCATGCGACGTGCTCCGTTTCTCCCTTCCTCACCTTCTGTCCGCGTGACACACTTGGCGACACTTCCCTGCGATGGGTTTCATCAGTCTATATAAGGTGTTTACATTCCAGTCTCAAATGGAATGATCAATTATCCTCGACCCTCGACCCGCGACCCCAAACCCATACATCCATCACCACAGAAGACAGATTGTAAACCCAGCCAAGCTAGTTAACCCAAGCATCCCTCACTCTCTACTCGAACCCTGCACCCTCTCAAACGTAACATCGCGATATTTCCGCCTTCCTTCCGTTCCATCCATCATTACTACCACGTGTCCCATCCACCAGTTTTTCGCTCCCGCTGACAGGTGTGGGGAAGGAGGTGGGGGAGAGCGTTAACAGCATCCGAGAGAGCACGTGAGACGCGCCTTTCTACGGAAACTTTCTGCTGAACGACGAGCCATACGGACTGTTCATATTCGCTGCTAAGCGGTCCATTCTCTGTTAGATGTTCCCTTCCTCGTACTCGCCCTGTTTCACTATGGCAATCCTATACGATGATCCAGGGGTATGTGGTTGCATGGGGATGAGCGCGACACCGTGCCCGACTTGAGAATGTCGATCTTCGTAATCCTTTCAGTCCGTCCGTGCCTTTCAGCCGTTCCCACCTCTGCCGGTCGAGGTACGAGGCACACAGTCGGTCCGAGGAATAAATACGCAGGGATGAATATTCTGTTCTGGAGCAGTGTACTGCCTTGAATCTGGTTGTGCCTGGGGATACTCGATCTCTCTCGACTGGATGGTGGCTTGCTCTGTGTGTTCGGCGTCTGATTTTCTTGAACGATACAGAATTCTTGGGCATTAATATTGACCTAGTGATTGGGATCGGCACTGCACATTGAGATCTTGTATCTGAAACGCTACCAGCTGCAATCGTGTTCTTGGCGAATCTAGCAATATTGATGAGCTCTCTTCAAGAGGATCATGCGATTGCGGGGGACCAGAGGGATCGTTCATCTCTTCCGCACGTTTTGGACGAGCGGTTGCGTCTTTATCTGACTTGATGCTGTCCGTCTATGATGCATGATCGGTGGATTCGCCATCTGATGCATGTGGTTGTGATCCCAAACAGACCATGCCTTCATTCCAATGTCCGTACCTCGGGATACCAATCCAAGCACCTTCCACCCTCCACCTTCTCCACTCTCTACATCTCCCTCGTCGGCTCCAACTCCTCATGTACCCCATTCACGCTCACCCACGTCATCCTCCTCCACTTGTCCGCTTCCCCCGTCGCCTCCCGATAATGCTTTATGGCCAGTACCATCTGTTCCGCGCATTTGTGGGGTGAGATCCCTCCCACGCCCGTGCCCAAGCCGCTCATGACCACTGTTTCTATCTTCCCCTCCCCAGGAGCGGAATTATGTGCATCAAGCGAGAGGAGTAGGTTCCACATACACTCGTACACTATCTCCCTCTGCCAGTCGATCCGCTCCGGCACGCGCATCGTAGGCAGCACAGCGACGTACTTGCACTTGAGGACATTCTCCTCCCCGCAGAGCCCTTCAAGCAGAGGCACGAGCGTACATTGTCCGGGGGAGATGTACCCTCTGTAGTGGGTGTACAGATGTGCCTGAACAACACGGATCACGGGCATCATATCTCCCGGAGAGATAGCGCGAGCGATGTACAGGTCGATCCTACGCGGCTATCAGCTGCAGCAGGGCAAGAACACCTCTGACCGCGCGCACCCGCCGTCCATGATCCCATACGAATTGGCAGGAGAGACAACGCAGTCGTACGTTCCGGCATCGCGGATATCTTTCTGCAGCAGGGTGACGCACGACCCTATCGCCCCTGGGAGGTACTTGTCCAACGCCGTCTTCCACGCCTCGTGCAGCTCACCCTGTCTGTCCAGAAGCGTAAAATGGATCCCTGTAGCCATTGGCTACGTACAGGCTACGGCTGGGGAATGGGATGCTGAGTGTAGAGTTGAGTACGCATGGTCTGCGGGCCCGATACCGATTCTGAGGCTTGTCATCGCCACGCCACGAGTTGATGGATCTCACGTGCGAGGGCGGTCCGAGGAAAGCTAGCGCTATCTTGAGCGCTCTCGGTCCTGATTCGTTATTATGCATTCCAACGACCACGAAGACAGATGTCAAGGACACGCTGCATGGTGCTATTTGAGAGCTCGGGCGCTGTGCATGTCTTTGACGAATGTTGGACGCGCACAAGAGGGACGGTGAGCTAATCACAGTGGACAGCCCCAAGTCGCCGTTGCGTGCATACTCCCGGTCGTAGGGCCGAGGGTTGATGAGAGAATATTTGCTGGATGTCGGAAGATAGTACTTGCGTTGAATAGGTACGCCTTCATTTCAAGTTCCGACTTTAGGCGCGCGTTAAAGTGTGATTCCAGCCATGGTAAGCCGAACATCTGGGTTTCCAAGGATATGCAAACATGAGGGCTCGGGATATTGGGCGCATTACACGTTCCTTCAACATGTGCCTACGGTCTATCCTAGCAAACCCGATCCAAACTCCGACTAGCTGGCGACTGCGTGTAACCCCTGCGACATCGGGTCATTGTCAACATGGCACTATTTGTGTCCTTGGGGTTTGTTCGTCCTTGGACAGCCATTGTATTGTGAGTATATATAATTGTTAGAGTCGGTATACGGAGCGCTGTGAGTACTGATACTCTTAAGGACTTGGATTGCTCTTTGTTTCTTCGCACCGGAACCACCAGCATCTTTCAGGATATACCCCTCCATCATCATGCCACGCACATTCGGTTACGCGCCTACCGAGTAAGTTTATCAGCCCCATGTTCTTCTCAGCTGATTCTAACTTGATTGGACTTCCAACAGCGCCCCAAGCATTAAGACGGTAGTCCTGCGTGGCAAAGTACCTGTTGATCCCGATTCATCCTACGTCCGTATGTATGTTTTCCCTTTCGTGTTTCTGTTTCACTCTGATCAATGTCTAGATACACACCAAGTTTATGTCGATGACACTGGAGAAGTCTACGATGCGCTGCTCACGCGAACTGACATTGATGTCAACGCAAACAGGTCCTATTTGCTGCAGCTTCTGCACCCCATCACCGACCGGGAGTCTGTTATCCTACATACACGTTGGACCAGGGTGGGGGGGAGGGGACAATATCAAGACAAGGGACCGTGGAAGCCTGCACTCGCGGTGGAGGAGTTCCGAAAGCAATTCAAGAAGAAAACAGGATTTTCGTGGGAAGACAGGAAGATGCCACCGAATATTGGGAAGGAGGGTGCGTGCAATTGTTAACGTTATGGTGTTTCTTGTCCTCTGGCTGACCCGCCGCGTCGCCCATAGGGGAGTACAACCTTTGTGGTGAGTGTTATAATATGTGTTGCTTTCCACTCTAATGTCAAAGCGATTGCGACAGCGCGTGACTTTGATCATTCTGGACCTGAAGAAGCAGCTTCTCCAGTGGACAGTGAATACGTGGAAGGTACGTAAAAGACAACGACATGGATGCGTTCTGAACTCAAGATCGCAGACGGCATGAGATCTCCTGCCCTGCAAGAGCTCATGAAACTGATCTTCAACGTCCCGTACATGGACGCAACCCTCTCGTCCTTCTCGTATGATCAAAAGAAGGCGCCTCTGGGCAAGATGTCGACATCTATACTGTTGAAAGGGTTGGAGGAACTGAGGAAGATCAGCGAGGCGATTGCTCAGCCGGATACGAAGGCAATCAACGAAAAGGGCGGCCTTGAAGCGGTATGCCTGCAGTATAGCAGTCGGTATTACACGTACATTCCCCACCTGTTCGGTCGTACCCGACCCGAAGTTATCAATACTCAACATCTGCTCCAGCAGGTGAATTTGGCCAGAGGTGCTTGTAATATGTTGTTCATCCTTTGCTCAGGAACTAAATCTTATTGATGCGCTTAGCGACATGGAGGTTACTTCAAAATTACTCTCGGATACTCTCTTGCACTTCGGCGAAGGGGATGCTATGAAACGGTTTGACATGCAGCTCGCTTCGCTCCAACTGAAGTACATCGCTCCTCTCGCAAAGGACAGCACCAAATTCCAAGGCATTGCCAAATATAATATGCCAGAGACACGCATGGTACTGCGGAGAACTTCGGAGCTGAGGTGGTGGATGTGTTCCGCATCGAGAGAAAGGGCGAACAGGAGGCTTGGGAGGCTGCTGGTTGGCCAATGGAAATAAGATGTTGCTGTGGCACGGTGAGACCTTTGTCTCGAGCATGTTACAGCCTTAACATAAAGCAGGTTCTCGCGCGACCAACTTCGGAGGGATCCTCAAACAGGGCTTGCGTATCGCCCCGCCCGAAGCCCCTAGCTCTGGATCGAAGTTTGGCAAGGGTGTCTATTTCGCAGACATGATGTGCACTTCTGTCGAGTACTGTCACTCGGAGCTTTCGGGCAACACTGGCCTCTTCCTGCTGTGCGAGGTCGCGGTAAAGCCCTTTTTCGAGGTGAGCCAGGATGACTTTACCGCGGGAGAGAAGTGTTCCAAAGCGAGCGCATTGTGAGTTTTCTCTTTCTCGCCTACGTTCGCAGATGCTTGAATGGCGCAGGGCGACCAAGGCGCTGGGTAAAACGGCTTCTGATATATGGATCGACGCTGGTGTGACTCTAGACCGGGACGAATTGAAGGGTGCCATCATGCCCGGCGGACGGGGGAAGGCCGCCGATATACAGGATTGCCGTCTTGAATACAACGAGATAAGCATCGAGCACAATTGCGACCGAGTAGAGGCTGAGGAGCAAACAGTATGTGGTTTACCAGACGCATCAAATCAGGCAGCGGTACTTGGTGCGGTGCAAATTCCCTCCAGCGGAGAAATCCAAATAGAGCAGTTGAGGTTGATGCTTTCATTCACGCCCCTGTAGCGTAAACTGTGTGCTTCGGATTTGGCTCGGTAGAAGTTGTAGAACGCCGGGAGATCCTGGTGACGAGTAATTAATCATAATACAGCAAGCCCCTTTCAGCGAGGTCTATGTGACCTTTGTCATTTGGATTCCAACCGCAGAAGGATAGACTAGACGACACCAGAGAGTCATCACACGTCCATCATTCAGATCCAACACGAAAGGAGACGATCCTCACGCACGGAGAGCGAAACCCGAAAGAGAGGAAGTAAGCAAGAGAATACCTCTGCAGCCCATCACAATCGACCTCTAATAGTCGTTTGCTCATACTGTAGCAGGTATGACGCAGACGTGGATAAATGACGGGGACGAAAGGCGCAACGAAGGGTTTTCGAGAATAAGATGGGAGAGCAGGGCTTGGCGGGCCCGCTTGTTAACCTGCACAATATGCCGGGAAATCAGAGATAAGAGAGCTGGCAAGAACAACCAAGACCCCGAATATAGGAAGCAGGATCCCAAGGGTAAAACGAGCTCAGGCAGGCTCCAGAGCTACTAGCTTGGGTTGAGGAAGTTCCGGAGGAGAGAATTAGGACAAGTGACCAGAGCTGAAGCAGGTTCATTGATGCCCGAGCGCTGCATCTGATCTAATCGTCGTTGACCGGGTATCAACCAACCCACCCTGGTGAAGGTGTGCCAGGACTTGGACAACCAGTATCCTAGAAATCTATCGGGTAACCGGCAAGGGAACCAAGGTGAGATGCAGACAAAGGTGAGAGAGAATGGGTGAGAAATATAATGCAAGATCATACAGACCCCACCATCCGCAAACGTCCTTACCGTCGCGCACAGTTAGTCCGGATGGGCGAAGTGGGAGGTACGCACAAGGCTGGGGACGTCGGACATGCTAGGAATGACAGGGTCATATGACCAGACAGCAGGTAGAAGGGGGAGCTGAGGAAACAGCCAGGGATGCGGAAGATGCAGCAGGAGCAGTTGAACCCAATGAGCCCCAAATCCTGCAACAGAACCGTTGCGGGGTGAGCATCACTGGTGCATGGAGGACAAAGGCTGGACATTGGGGACTTTCTCCTCCGCTCTTGTCGTAAATGTCGAGATTAGAGACAGCGGAGATAAGGAGATTAGAGAGGATATGGGACAGGATGATGCAGGATCTTGGGAAACCGACTGGCATGGTGCGTCTATGCAGATTGAGTTATCATGCCCCAGCAGAGGGATAGTTCACGGGAGAAACGCAAGCAGGGAAATGACAAAGAAATGCAGAGACAAGAGGGAGGCAGGAGGAAAGAAAAGGAAGGACGAAAATGGTTGCAAGGGATTTTGACCCTCATAGACGCGCACGGACCATCTACGGAACGGAACAGCGGTTAGCGTTCGGAGCCGAAGTTGGACATGCGCAAGGATCCAATTAATAGGAGCACTTTCCTCCGGTGCCCCCTCTGCGGAGATACCCTGCCTACAATGCCCAAGCAATTTCCTCCGGTGCCCCCTCTGTGGAGATACCCTTCCTACAATGCCCTCTGGGGGCAATTGCCCTAAATGCCCCTCTTCTTCACATGTGCTGCGTATTTACTTGCGCGCTCTGTGGCAGTGACAGGAAACTCGTAAGGGAGATAGTTTAGGGTCCCACAGTTGTTAGAGGTCATAATCTAAAGAACATACACATATTCAAGAAGTATAAATTCTCGGTCAATTTGGTGCATTGTTGTCATTATGGCCCTCAAAAGTACCTGCCTATTCTTTGTGAGCACATCTTCTTTATTTTTTATAACACCGTGGGAGAATATATTTTAAGACCCCTGCAACCCCGGGCCCGTTGAGGTGTGCCGTATTATTTGCCATCACCGTCCCTGGACTGGATGTGTGTGGGGTGAGCAGCTACATATATTGTAGATCTCCTTACCGGGAATTAATGTCGGGGATCGGCTTTCTCCACCGCCTTCAAGTTAGACTGAAGCGCACATGACACGTAACGATACAATAGCAGGTCTACATGCACAGCGTAATAGTTCGTACATTCTCGTGATACGTGCGATGCAAAAGCCCCAAGGAAAACGACATTCGATCGAGAGATCCATCCGTCCTGATATCTTTGCCTGTGTCATGTCAACCCCACTCCCCGCTCTATGCGATCCCCCCGCCGGCAAGAGCAGCCTCCATCTCCGCCTGCTCCTCTTCGGAAATCTGCTTCTCTGTCTGCCCCTCCCCGCTTGTTTCGGCAGCGGGTTCACCCTCAGCAGCAACAGCAACAGCGGCAGCCTTTGCTTTCTCCTGCTGCTCAAGATCCTTCGCTTTGACAAAATTCCTCTGCAAAGAATAGTGCCTCACAAACAAGCTTAGGACAAGACATACCCCGAGCAGGGGTGCAATGGCGGTCCATACAACCCCTATACTCTTCGCGAACGCATGCAGCACTTCTTGACGAACGGAAGCAGGTTCGATATTCCACAGCGTGCGGTAATCTATGTTTGCGTTGGACAGGCTCTGGTACTGCGCTGGAAGACGCTGCGCAAGCTGCGTATTCATGATCGTGCCGCCTATGGCGATACCGATCGTGGAGCCGAGCATGCGGAGGAGGAAGAACGCAGAGGTAACGCTGGCCATCGCGTTGAGTGGCATCGCTGCCTGCACAGCAACGAGCGGGGCTTGGAAGAACATGCCTATTCCCAGGGCAGGGATGAGGATGTATATTTCCTGCTGTGCGACGCTGCTGGTCTCGTCCAGCGTGGCCATGAGCGAGAAGCCGAGTGTCATTAGGGTGAACCCGGCCCAGAACGCAGGGCGGATGCGGCCTGTTCGGGTAATGAATTGGCCAGTGCCCACGCTGGTGAGGGCGGAAACGACAGAGAAGGGTATCATCCGTACACCAGACATAAGCGCATCTGAATCCATCACGGCTTGGAAGTAGACGGGGACTGCGCGGGTCAGTTTGGATACAACGAGATAGGGAAGCGGGCTTACGGTAGTATGATCCAGCTAGGAAGGCGATACCGTGAATCAACACGTTGAACATGAGAATACCTGTTGTACGGGTCTTGAACAACCGTGGCGGGATGATCGCGTCCTTTGTAGTATACTACACGGCCATCAGTACGTTTCGTGCATGGAGATAGCAAAGGACTCACAAACTCCCAAATGATCGCAGGCACGTACAGGACGAGCCCAGAAATAAGCATGCCCAACGTCCTAGCATCCTGCCAGCCGTTGGAGATGCTCCATGTCAATCCCAAGAGGACGAGGATGGTTGCGCTCATGATAAGCGCCAATCCGACGAAGTCGAACTTCCTCGCCATCTCAATCGCGCTCTGCTTCTTCGGCGGATTGAGGTGCAATGTGATGAACAGCATCAAGATAGCTGCGCCGCCCGTGGGGAGGTTGATCCAGAAGATCCAGCGCCAGCCGACCTTATCCGCGAAGATACCTCCAATGAGTGGTCCGATAACGGCGGCGAAGCCCCAGGTTGTCCCAAGGTAGCCGGACCACTTGCCACGGTCTTTGAGCGATACGATGTCCGACATGACGGTGATGACGAGCGCGACAACGCCTCCACCGCCAATGCCTTGCACGGCTCGGCAGACGATTAGCCAGATCATGCTCTGTGCGGCGCCACAGAGAGCGGAGGCGCCGAGGAAGATGAGGATGCAGGTGTAGAGAACGGGTTTGCGCCCGAAGAGATCTGAGGTCTACGACAGCGTTAGCCCAGTATTCGAGCGGTGTAACCGGGAGGGACGCACCTTGCCGTAGATGGGCATCAACGCAGTTTGGGCTAACATGTAGCTGACTCCGACCCATGAATAGTCGCTCGCGCTACTCGACAAATCCTGGGCGATCGTCGGCAGGGCTGTACCGACGGCGGTCTGATCCAAGGCCGCGAGGAACATCACGAGTGCTAAACTGCATGTGGGGGAGAAGGCGGATGTCAGCGGGGATGACACGGACAGCGGTACCATGGGTAGGGACGTACCTAATAAATACCAACGGGAGGTTGTTCTTCGGTAGCACTATGGCTTCCCTCTCCTCTGCCTCGCGCCAACTCTGCTTTTTCTTCCCTCCCTCACCATCCTCTTTACCCTTGCCTTCTTCTAGTTCTCCTGGTGTGGGAGAAGCGACGAGCGTAGGTGCCTTGGAGAGCACTATGCCGATCGGTTCGTCATCGACGTCCGCGGGGGAGGCGGTGAGCTTGCCCTTGTCGGAAGAGGAGGAGGAGAGGATGCTGCCTGGTTTTGGGGGAGTAGGGACGGAGGCGTTGAGAGTGGGAGTGGAGAGGGCGACGCCTTCTGACGCGTCGAGCCAGGTGGAGGGCTCGAGGGATGTCATGTTGCGGGTCTGGAGAATGACGAGCAGAGCACGCAGAGGCCGCCTTTTAGGGATATCGATGTCCTCGGGTGCGGGGAAGGATAAGAGACGGTCCCTCGGTCCAGGCAAAGAGAAGAGGGGCTAAGAGGGGCACCAAACGTTTTGTCATCTTGCAGTCCGGATTATCCACCCAAGCATATCCACGGATGAAAGGGCATCGGGTCGAGTAAGCCGTCCGTGAATTGGGCAATCAGGTGAACCTTTCTCCACCCAACAAATCCACAGTATTTCCCCCTCGTGTGGAAGTAGACCGAAGGGGGATAAAGGGCCTAAAATGTGACGGCCGATATGCCGAGACAGAATGCGGGCCGAGTAATATGCCGCTGGTCAGCAAGCTAATATTTCTTCCGGAGTAAATTTGTCCGAATGTACCACCGAAAGTTCCTGCTTGCAAAAAGGAGATGAGACGTGGCATGAACCGCTGACTGGGCGACAAACAAATGCGTTTGAGGACGGAGGGCTCTCGCCGTCTGGTTCGCGGTCGTGGGAGGAGATCCGACACCTTCTACATGACCCCTGACCCTGCGCCCGTGCCGAGCGTGGACCCAAAGGGAGAGATCGTTTTGCAGTCTCCGAGACAACAAGCATGTTCGTGCGTGTCGTACATGCACGTTACGCAACTTCGTAAGCTGGCCGAGGAAGATCATATCTTGCTGTGGACGCGGTGCGCACGCTTGCAGACGCACGTTCCTGAGGAGCTGCGGCAGGTGCCGAGGCGGATCAAATTTGACTAAAGGAAAAGCACTCGGACAAGGCCGGGTTGGGCGGGTTGGGAAGTGGGAAGATGGCTGCGCATGCTGGATTCAACGGTCTGGCCTGTGGTTGCCTGACAGTCGGCTCTGTTGATCGAATGATATACTCCGCTGTTGATCGCTATTGATCGGGGCGGGCCCTTATCGTCCGTTTCATCAGTCAAGGTCAGTTGTCGAAAGGGACAATAACACTACAACAGTGACATCTTGAAAGAGGCTGTTAAGTGAATGTCATGGTGAAAGTAAGAATACCGGAGTAGCTTACCACACGAGGTATACAGTGGGGCGGCGAGGCACGTGACGTCTGTGTCATCTCTCAGGGTCCCAGCCGATAAGCGCTCATCCAACTTGACCAACTCCCATACAATTACAGTAATGGTAGCATCCTCATCCCGCTACATACCCAACACTCTACTTACAACTCGTTCTTCTCGATCTATCCAGCTGGTTGAACAACAACTACACAGCAGCCTAATTGCCGCTCTCTCCCTCCTTCAAGCCCACCAGCCATCTTCCAATCTTCGCACACGACCTCGCCTGTACACCGGTGCAGTCGGACACGCCGTTCTCTATCTGCGTCTTTACCTACAGTCTTCAGGAGGCTCCTTTTCTATCTCTATACCAGATGAAACACGTGAATACCTTCCGAAACTGATCAAGTCCATTCTGGAACCCTCCCTTTCCTATCCCGTTGGCGCACTAGCCAAAGCAGCATCTGCAGACCCCGAACAACGAAGAGAAGTCATCTCGTTCGGACATGTAGGGGCGATCGACACACCTGTAGGACCTGCCGTACTCGAGATTCTGCGCCAGTTGCTCTTCGGTGGGGATGAGGGAGGGGACGATGACCTCTGGGATACGTCGATGCGGTCGTGCAGGGCGCATGGGAGGCATGTGGGGAGATGACCCTCGAAGAGTTCGAAGCTGGTGATATGGCTGAACTACTCTACGGAGCCTCTGGTTTTCTGTACGCCCTGCTAGGGTTACGCTCCGCGCTTGACTCTGGCATAGGCGCAGGAGGGCGCAGAGCCGGGGATGTCCAACTCAGACGACTCACGGGAGACGAAGCGATCGCTGGGGTGGTGGAGAATGTGATTAGGAGCGGGGTAAGTGGAGCAGTCTATTTCAGGGGTGTATTAAGGGAAGGGGAGAAATCCCCTCCACTCATGTGGCGAAGCTTGCATGAGAGGTACTATGTGCGTCTCCTCTCCATTGATGATCGACGTACTCAGTTGATCTATGGTAGTTGGGAGGAATACACGGGATCGCCGGTGTCCTACTCACACTTCTCCAATGTCCTCCAAGCATCGCCGTTGTCTCCTCACACCTCACCTCCCATATCATACCAACGATCGATTACCTACTAACCCTGCAAGAATCATCTGGCAATCTTCCCTCCTCCTATCCCCCACACCGGGCCCAGCTATGCCAATTTTGTCATGGTGCTCCGGGTCTCGCACTTCTCCTCCAAGTATTGAAGCAGCGCATGCCGTCTGCATTTAAGGGAGAGATGGGCCGTTGGAGGAACAAGAGGCTCGAACTTGCCCTGGAGTGCATATGGCGCGAAGGGCTGGTGAAGAAGGGGCTTGGGTTGTGTCATGGGGTAACGGGGAATACGGTGCCCTTCTTGATACAAGCGGTGTCGGAGCTCAGAGAAGGTGCAGAATCTAGGTGGGCTATTATATGCTGCAGCTCTTTATATGCTAACAGATGTCAACAGTGAAAACCTGAATAAAGCCCTGACCTTCCTCGCGCTATCCACGACCCTCCCTCCTGTACCCCCTTCCACGTCTCTGATTCCCGATCTACCACAGGCATCTCTCTTTCACACCCCTGACAACCCCTACTCGCTATACGAAGGCCTTGCGGGCGCTGCCTGCATCTGGGCCGACACGCTCGTTCTGATCCAGTCGCTGACCGGCCAGAGAAAGGGCATGGGACAAGGGATGATCGGCTTTCCTTTGGTGGGGGGGACTGGTGTGGTCTGGCCGCTTTGAGCTTGTGTGCGCCTCTTTATGTGTTTTTGATGATATTAAAAATGTAATAATGTAATCAGATGCTGTCTATCGGATCTACGGGGTTTCCAATAAGGTGGAACCAGATGCCAACACGTGATTACGCCTAAGGGACCTTTAATGAGCTGGCAATCCCTTTCCCACGCGTCTAACACCGCATTCTAGATCTACAACGACCTTGTGTCCTAACTTTTGTGTGTCACTTCTCTCGGATGGCAACAGATCCAAGCTTCTATCTTCAAAACAACTTGAATCCATCATATGATGCAGATATCATTGAAAAGACTCGAACGACGCTAGGAGCCGCGATCGCATTCTCGGTTGATGAGATCGAGAAGCACCTTGATAGTCCTGATGAGCCCACAATCCCGAGGATATACAGCAGTCAGGTTGGTCAGTATCGCTTACCCACCCGCATTTCCGATGGATTGATCATCTGCTAGGAGAGGCGGTTGGATTGTTGAGGCTTTATGCACAGGCTGGACGACTCGGACTGCCAGACGTTCTCAAAGATCGTCTTCCGGCGCTAATCAAGAAGTTCATCGGACCCTGTTTCACGGACAAGAACCCGGAATTTTTCGAGGCGTCGTCCAAGAATCCCGATGTTCGGAGGAAAGTGCTCAACTTCGGGAAATGCGGCATGATGACATCTCTTCCCGGTCCGGCATTCCTCGAGATATCCCGACAGCTTCTTATCCCCGAGACTGCGGACGATGACGATGATATGTACGAAATAGCGCTTGGTGTTCTGCAGAACGGGTTTGCCGCGTGCTTTGAAGCGAGCAATGAACAGGATCTGCAAGGCGATATGGTTGAGCTTATGTGGAGCACGGCTGGGTTTCTGTATGGCGTCATCGGAATGCGGGCAATGCTGGACGGCATGCAAACTACCGATCCTGGAAAAATAGCCAAGGCGAAGGATTCGCGCCTGCTAGATATCGTGTCCAACGAGAGCATTGGCCGGCTTGTGACGGAGATCATACATACCGGAGTACACGGATCGGGACGCTTTCGCGAACAATTCGGGCATGCCCCCCCAGTCATGTGGCGAGATTTCCGACGGTCCTATGCGGTACGCATTTTACTTCGTGTCGTTGCGTCATTTGCTGATATGCCCGTCAGTTGGGTGGTATACACGGTGTGGCTGGTGTACTGCTCATTCTGCTTCAAGTTCCCAACGCGATTATATACCCTTACCTGAATGGGCATATTCTCCCAACGCTCGATTGGCTACTTGCACAACAAAGGAATGGCAATATGCCCCGCACATACCCAACGAATGCGCCCCAGGCGGGTGGGCCAGCATGGCAGTGCCAGTTCTGCCATGGCGCCATTGGCCCTGCCCTCATGCTTACGGCGTATAAACACTTACTTCCATTCCCAACCGAAGGATACACCCCAAGGAGCATTGTAGCGAAGAGGCTAAATCGTGACAAGTGCTTGGAAGATTGTTTAGATTTCATATGGAAAGAAGGCCTGCTGCGCAAGGGCATTTCCGTTTGCCATGGCATTACGGGAAACGCTGTGCCTTTTCTCATACAGGCAGCCTACGACTTGAAGGAGGGAAAGACAGAAAGGTGGGTGGTCAGTACCAGTGGCAGAGCCATACTCATGAGCTCTGTGACAGCTTATCGCTTGGCCGTGCGTTGGCTTTGTTGCGGTATGCGAGCGGGCTCCCTCCCATCAACATGCCGCAATCTGAGCAGTCTCTGACATTGCCAGATGGCCAGCCCATCTTCGGTCCGCTTGAACACCCAACTTATCTTTTCCAGGGCATCGCGGGCGCAATGTGCGTGTGGGCGGACGCGCTGGTTCTGCTCAACAACCAACTTGAAGGGGCTGAAAATGTGACGACGGGTATAGTTGGCTTTCCCCTGGCCGGTGGTCTTGGCATTCGTTTGCCCTTGTGATTCTATGTCCGTTTTTGTAATTGATGACAACAAGTGATAGGTACAAGAATGAACTAGAACATTGCCATGGTTTCTACGATTCCTACCCTAAATTGTGATCTTCACGTACGGCTTAGCTGAGATGAGAGAGCAACGAATTTCTGATGCTAAACGCAGTGCTACAGTCATAACCTCTGCCTTCTGTCTCTCCCCTGTCCCTTGATCTAGAGGTAGTTGGTCTAATTGGCCGGCTTGAAGGGCATCGTCGGGAATAAAGAAAGCTTCTTCAGATTCGGCAGCCAATTTTGATTGTTAATGCATGTGAGCCACGGAGCGGTGTTGCTTATGAGGGCAGGGTGATATCGGAATGTGAATGTTTCGATCTGATCGGGTAAATGGGCTGGTAGCCCCTTATTCATCTCCGCTGCCCGCTGGATGCCAAAGGAGAGCCCGAGTATGCGCAGGGTTGACGTCGCATGCAAAGCCGAAAAGAAGTTGTTCGGATTTGAATCGAATGGGAAGTCGGAACCGTTGTAGGACTCAATTGTCAAGACTTCGAGATTGTCGAGTAGATTTGTACGATATCTCATCTTGCCGAAGCTTTCCCGTGCATCATTGCCCGTTAGGATGAGGTGACGAAGAGCTGATGGACCTGGAATTGGATGCAGGGTTACCGCAAAACACCAGAACAGCTGCAATCCGTACGGACAAGCGAGGCTTTCCGAGTCAAAAATCACCTCAGCATAGTATCCACGTCTGATGATAAGCCATTCAAGAGAAAATGGGCTCCGAAGCTGGCTAAAGTTGGTCAGGTTGAGATTGTTATCGAGGTAATCAATGTCCAGGACTCGAGGATGCAGCCCATCTAGTGCATTGCAGAGGTCGATGTCCCATGGTTCTTTTCCCCACATGCCTTGAATGGAGATCGCATCTATCGCTGGAAAATCGGCCTGCAAACGAGTAATTCGAACAATTTCTCTTATTCGCGCGAGGAAGCCAGCATAAGCATGCGAGATCGGGAGCTTGAGAATGGGGTACGGAGGTATGTCGCTTCCCTCGAAGTCGATCATCTTGACATCATCCCTACGCTTTGGATAACGAGGATAAATTTCCGGCACTGGAAGACCCAAGTTGAGAACCAACACGTGACAGAGTTTTAGTTTACTGAGATCGGCACTGAGGACTTGAAGTTCGATCAGTTCTTCCGGGTGCCGCTCCTCCTGCCGCATCATCCCGGGTAATAAGCTGATCGTGGAAGTTTTAATGAAGCATGGATCTTCGGGCGCCGACATGTCACACTGGAAAGACTCATTGTGTACTCGTGGCAAGACCTAGATAGTATGCTGTGTGGAAGGAAGCTATGGAAGCAAACAGGGACCCATGCACCCTGTCAACTATCACGTGAACCTCCCACAGTTTGCTTGTTGGCTACTTTCAGTTGCGTTTCTTCATCCAGAACACCCTGACTATATTCCTCACGCAGGAAAAGAGTCACATTCATCTAGTATTTTTGCTACCTATCCTCTCAACAAGCAGCGCAGATCAATCTGGTTAAATGATGTGTACACGGACTTGATGATATGTGGTGCGACACACACAATAGAATTCGAGAATGAAGGGAAAACAATGAAGATGAACAGGGGGCATAGGAGGCACAGAAAAGGAAAAAGAAAAAAGAAAAAGAAAAACAAAGGTTTATTAATGTTAATCACGGCGATGCGGAAGAATGACGAGAGGACTCAGTCCAGCAAAGAGACGACATGAGGGTAATGAAAACCAGACATTCCCCGTCACACGTACATTCCTCCGTATACAACAGCGACCGTTCATTTTTTGAAAGAAGCAAGCAGATCGAGTTTCGCAGATAGTTAACCCACACCATCCTAGTCTGTCGTGGGTCCAAGATAATGAGGATTGATTGTGGTTGTTGATGATAAGAATGATGAGTGCCAAACGCGATCCATCCGTTTGTCAGCTGGGTAATTCCACCTGATATGTCGTCTCCATAAGTACCGGCGGCGTCCACTTTATAACGGTAATTGATCTTGTGACCGAATGTCCAGCAAAGGATCCGGTCTGAATAATAACATCGTATACAGCAAGGTGTCCCAGGTCGCGACAGGTAGTTGACCAGAAGTTCACAAGCTACCAGCGCTTGTCGCCATTAGGTCCACCCACAGAAAAAGGCTGAACCCAAACATTCGCGCTAGCAGTCATGGGGGGGGTACAGAAGGTCTCGATGACGGCGGGATTGGGAATATTGAGGGCGAGCCCATTCACAGGAGCTGGCGTTGAGGTTGAAGACTCTGAAGTACGGCACCCACCCCTACTGTGCGCCATTTGCAGCCTTGCAGATGGAGGCGTACACATGGAGTTCATAGTTGAGTAGGGAGATCCGCGAAATGGAGCACCGTTGGAGGGGACTACGGCAGGCGCACGTGCAGAAGGAGTAGAGGCAACGAGCAAGCCAGCGGCGTTGCGCTGCAACGTCGGACTGACCGGACCGAACAGAGAGGCGGTGGACATGGTCGCACGTGCAACCGGGGCAGTCTGCGGACCTGAAGGAAGGGTGTTGCTGCTCATGGAGGTGTTGAGTCGTAGATTCAGGGGGGGCTGAAAGTGTGAAGCTCTGGAAGAGGTGGTGGAAGCTGTAGAGGGCATGATAAAGTGCGATGGGACGATGCGGTCATTCGATACGCTTGAGTCACTCGCGGTTGGTGTTGTGGGAACAGTCATAAAGGCGCCCGTCGCATCCTCATCTCGCACAGAATCAACGCTTCCTGAACCGGGAGATGCATTCGACAGACCACGCCGGCTGAGAATATCGCGTTCAATGAGGCTCGTCATGTTTCCGGTTGACGAAACACGTGGTAGGGGCGAGACGTTCTGGAACGCACTTGCATTAGAGACCATCCCCGGCGAAGTACCTTGACGAGTGTTCAACGGGCTCGTGATATTGTGGCTGGTTGCGCTGACATCCGTCTGCGTATCGGTGGTGTTATTCCTGATGCGCTCAAGCAAACTTTGACCACGGCTAGTATTGGAGGGAATGTGAGGGAAGAACGGTTCTCCACCTGGACCAGGAAGCATCCGACCAGCCGCAGACGCAGCAGTCGTATCGGCCGGATGGATGAAGCAGCAACGACCAGCGTAGGGGCAGCTTCCGTCGGTATACCAGGTCTGAGACAAGTCAAGTCACGTGTCAGTCTGAATCAACAATGTGAGACATCTTCTTTCTGACCTTGCAAAATTCAGTTTTGTATTTAGGATGCCTGGGAGTAAGCCGAAGCTCATGCACTCCATGCGCAAACTGGCATTTCTCCTGATATCTGCACTCCCCACGTTCCTCCCAGTTCCGGCACGGCTCCGTCTTATATAGGTCTTTTTTCCTGTTGTTCGGCGCTATCCCGGTCACCTCCATCTCCCTCTGCGGCTGCGGCATCGGCATGCAAACACCAGTACGCACGTCTCCCGAGGGATACATGAGCATCTGTGGAAGTGCGGCCCGAGCCATGAGAGCGCCGTGCTGCGGGGAGATGAGCGGCTGAGGGTTCCAGGCCGCGCCGTTGTTCGCGTTGTAGGTAACGTACTGCGTATTGTTCTGGTGATAGGTCGCGAGGAAACGTTCCGCTGCTTGCACGGCTTCGGTCGTATCCAAAGGACCATCTCGATTCATCGCAGAAAAATGATGCATCGCCTCGCTCACCCAGGCGTTGCTTCCGATGGCGACAGGTGGGCGGGTGGGTGCAGGAGGGGCATAAACTGGAGCGGGAGCAGGGGCATAGGTAGGGTAGGCGACGGGATAGATAGGGGGAGCAGCAGCAGCATGATGATAGGCAGCCATGTCGGCCTGTGCGATGAGGTTTGCATATCCGGGTGCGACGCCGGGAATCGGAGCGGACTGAGGGAAACGGGCTCCACCGGGGTTCGGGTAGGTCATCGGCGCTGCCGTCCATGGGTTCGGACCAGCTGGGAAGGGAAGAGGGAATACAGACTCGCCACCGCGCATAATCGGCATGTCGAAATCGGAGTCGCTGGGTGAGTCAACACCTGGTGCGGGCTTTTCACCCGGGTTGATAGAGTCGGGAAAGTTCAGACGCCTGTTCAAGTCCACAGAAGTTACTCCACGCGTAATCGGATTGGGAGGCGGTGGGAAGCTTGTAGGGGACTCGGCGCCCGGTTCAGAGGTGCCGGGAGAGGAGGTGTAACCAGAATGAGTCAATTGTGGTGTAGCGAGCGAGGAGTTGTATGCAGCGGTGGTCTTTACCTGGATGATGAGGGCAGAAAAGGAAGGGGTAAGAGAGCTGACGGCGTCGTCGTTACTGAGGGTAGGCAGAAGGCAAGGTATGGCTTGTCGTCTGGGGGATTCAGGAAAAACCGGGATCTTGGGTTTGGGAAAAAGGCGCTCAGTCTGCACCATCTCAGATAGAAGGGATCGGGATGGGACGAACTCGCGGCTCGCGGGAGTGAGCAACGACCTGGAGCACGGAGGTGCGATCGGTCCGTGGGATGTAACAGATGCGCCCCTCCTGAAAAGCACTATATCCTCGCCCGAGTCGTCGGACCGTGGAGAGGGAGATCGGTGCAGCATCGCAAAAATTGGATGGGAGGGATATAGACAAGAAACGATATAGAGCTGAAGGGAACGAATAATTAGTATGGTTTTGTGGTGAAGTGACAACAAAGTGTGAAAGGGGGGAAATATTGTGAGATGCGAAAGCACTAGTATATGGGCGTAACACGGAAGCAGACGTACCTGTGGCCTAATCCCGTAGGGACTTGCTGTGCGTAGACGATATTAGACTCGCAGATGCGTTCTGATCGCGGATGACCAAGAGAAAACAGACGGGGGCCGAAGCGCCCTGTTCGTGCCGGTTGATTTTATGTCTGATGCGGACGGCAAGAACAGCAAGAGGAATAAGGATATGCAGGCGTAAACGGCGTTAAGGAGACAAAATCATGCGGCGATGGAATGGGACAGAAGATTGTGCGGCGACGGAATGGGAGGTGACTGGATGAGGAAGTGAAGAGAGGGGAGAAAAGAGAACAGGGGGAGATTGTGGTTGAGAATGCGGAGGAGATGTTGGTGTTGGTGGTTGTTGGCGGGCGATGTACCACTGTACAGCTTGTGAGGAGGAGAGGGGGTTTAAGTACCAAGTACGGGGGGGGCTAAAGGGTGCGTTGAGGCGGCGGTCGGCCTTTCCCGTCCGCTGCACAGCCAAGGTTCTGCACTCAAGAGAAGCACCTCAATATTGTCCCTCTCCCTCTTACCACACCGCCCCCGGCCGAACGGCAACCAGAATACGTCTATCAGCGTTCCCTTCCAGATCCTCGGCATGTCGTTCTTGTCATACTTGACAACACTTGGTATCGATGGTATTTTGCATTGCACCTCTATGTCATGATCCGAGTGAGAACCAACCGTAGACGCCCGTGTATGCTCAGGCCCTATGTCCAATCGCATACCCGAAATCTAATACGAAAAATCACCCCAACCTGCTCTTCCGTAATTTATTATCACCGCGCCCCACTGGCCTTTTGCCGCCATTCAGACAGCTCCATTCAGTCCACTTGTCGAAACGTGTCAAAGGCGTGCAACTTCTATTTGCATCCGGTGCCGCCCAGGGTGCATGCTTATTCCCAGGATTCAAAGAGGGGCGGAAACAATTGGCACGTTTATGGGCAATTCCGCGCCCGATCTGAGTCTCCTCACCAACATTCTCTACGTCGCGGATATCCACGATACCACGTGGTATCGTGGACAGCGTACGACAAGTACTGATAACTGTTGTTGTACGCAGAGTGTTCTCACAGCTCGCAATGACGCGCTTGGTCGCTTCTAGGAAGATTCCTCTGGCAACCACGTCACCCGTGATCATCACTCATCCATCACACCTGTCCGCTCGCGTCGCACGAAACAGGACCATATTCAGCTCCGCCAACCTTCGCTTCACCCACATTGGGGTGCCTGGAATGTCAGAACACCAAGCACCCTTGCAACCTGCGCCCCTCTCCGATTTCCGTGTCGCATGCCACACTTCCACGCAAGTTTTCTTAAGCTCCTCCAATCATCAATTGACTACATCAGCTGACACCAAATAGCCGAAATTCTTCGAGCTTCAGAACCCTTGGAGAGGATACTCCTATCTCCACCAAGATATGAGTGTATGTGATATCACAGTGGTAAAGTGGTTCTATGGAACCACTTTACTACTGTGATATTGGAACAGGAGATAATTGTCTGCTGATAAACTGCAAAGTATGCTGATGCTGACAGCACTAATGCTAAAGTCCACATTTCACACATTTCTCTGGAATTTCCAATGTATGATGGAAACAGCTCCCCTCTCATCATTTACAGTCACAGTCTTTGCTGGCACAATGCAGTGGAGGTGCATGCCTAAGCAGCCTTGTGACCACTGAGGCAGCTATGGCAAGAGTGCTCATGAAAGGGGGGTCTGAAAGGGGTTTGCTCAGTGGCCCTTTCAGGCCGACGTTGTCCCTTCCCGTCGCAACAAAAGGGCGGACAAGCCCAAGTCAAGCCGCATCAAACAAACTCGCTGACCCCCAACAACTTCAGCCCACGTGACCAAACCAGGGTTCCCCAACGTCGGGTTGTCCCGGATGACGTTATCGGTGACCTCCCGTAAGCACTGCCACTCGGCATGATGGTCGTGTGCGCCGTGATTGGGGCCTTGACTCAGGTTGGGGCGCTTTGGTCGCACGACTCAAAAATCCTCGGTGGATATGCTCGTGTGACGTATTCACTTTCCTCTTCCCATTTTTCCATCGCATTCAACAAACATCCCTTGATATTCACATATTCCATAGCCTTGTTACTCAAAAGATGTCGACACCTACCCTCGGGCCTTCCCTCCCGCTGGACCTGCCCACTCCACCACCATTGCACCTCAGCAGCAGCTACACTAGCGTTATCAGTATCGGAGGGGGTTATGCTGATAGCAGATCTCGGGCGAGGAGTGAGAGCCAGACGAGGTGGCAGCTGGATGTCGAGCAAGACGAGCCTGAGCTCAGGGAGTATCAGCTTAAGGACCTGCCTTATGCTGATGTCGAGCTGGATGCCAGGTACGTGGGAGATGCCGATAACGAAATGGTAGCTGATCCAATCCTCAGGAAACATCGTTCCCCGAATTTCGCGACAGTGTTACTTTCCCTCTTCCGGACACTGAGAATACCGGGCTGGTCATCGCACCGGCTCACCCCTGCCAACGTTCATCTCCAGAAAATCTCAGGAGCACTCACCAATGCCGTATTCTTCGTCTCTTATCCACAAGCTCCCAAGCCTCCAACCCTGGTCCTCCGCATCTATGGCCCCTCCTCTTCTGTGCTCATATCCCGTCCCTCCGAACTGCAAACACTGCACATCCTCTCGAGCCAATACAGCATCGGCCCCAAAGTGTACGGCACCTTCGCCAACGGCAGAGTGGAGCAGTACTTTCCCAGCCGGACGCTGACAGCAGCTGAGATGCGCGAACCGCAAATGAGCCAGTGGATTGGAATGCGAATGCGAGAGCTGCACTCGGTCGACCTCGAGCGTGTCGTACAGGACGACATCAGTCTCCCAGGCGTCTGGAAGAACATCACAAGCTGGCTCGTTCCTGCACGGGATGTACTTGGGCTACTCGCAAAAGTACCGTTACCACTACAACATAAATGGGCCAATATCAGCACCGACATTGACCTCCACCGCTTTGCGCAAGATGTGTCCACATACCAAGCTCTAATTTCCTCCCGTACTCCACCAGTCGTCTTTGCGCACAACGATGCGCAGTACGGCAACCTCCTTCGGCTCACCAAGCCTCTTCGCACTCCCTCTTCCTCTCCGCTCGCGGGTGCAACCCTCCCTCCGCAACACCAACTTATCGTGGTCGACTTCGAGTACGCCTCCCCCAACCCAGCTGCGTTCGATATCGCGAACCACTTCCACGAGTGGTGTTTCGATTACTCGCGCCCGGTGGAGACGTCTTGGTACCTTGAGCGAGCGAATTACCCGACACTCGGGAAAAGGCGGAACTTCTACCGCGCATACCTTGGTCACAGCGCTACGGAGGAACAGCTCGACCAGCTGGAGCGAGAGGTTCGTGAGTGGAGTCCAGCGAGTCACGCTATGTGGGCCGTATGGGGGCTCGTACAGGCGAGAGACGACGTGATAGGTTTGGTGAACGAAGGCGTCAAGGCGGAAGGAGGAGACTTTAACTATTTGAGATATGCGAGGGGTCGGATGGAATGGTTCTATCGGGAACTGCAGGATCTGATTCAGTTGGAGAAGCCGCAGCTGGCATAATTCGATGTGCTCAGGCGATTTATCGGAGATTTTCTTCTTGGGTTCATGCTGTGGATTCCTATTTTTTTAGACACGAGATCAGGGGATTTAGTAACGATACATACCGTTGATAGCAGTCAATGTTGTTGTACGATACACGCCTAATGTTATCCTTCCGTATCTCCAGAGAATGGGGCCACAGCTGCCGCGTCTCCGAGTTTCTCCGCGGATTGTTTGTGGTGATGCAGAAGCCGAACGCGCCCAGAGGGCGTTCAACAATACACTCAACCTCTTGCTACGACTACTAGACTACGTTCTCTGCAAGATGCCAACCGCGGTGGACGTCGACGAGTATGATGAGTTCTTCGAGGATATGAATTGGGAAGAAGTAGGAAAGCTGCTCGATGCTCCCTCTCAGCCTCGCGCGCCTACAGCTTTGGCCCCTACGACTTCCCAAATCGCGTCGACCTCGAGGCCATCTGTGGTCCGGCAGCCTCCTGTATACAAACCTCCCCGGAGACAAACCAATCGTAACCAGTCTCGAAGCACACCGAGCCTCCCCTCTCCCTGGGAGAGACCTGCTATCAAGCGCGCGAGATCGCCTGACGTCGTCTCGGGGGAGGAGTCGGTGAAGAAGATGAAGATGTATGCGCAGAAAGTGCTGAAAGAGTTCGAGGAAGACTTCACTTGTCCTATGTACGTCTCTTTGATCTCAATGTGGAGCTCACACTGATACGTGAACAGATGCTTTGACCTTATGTATGCACTAGACTGTCTTGTGACTCCTCTCTGACTGTTTCTAAGTGTTGCTTGCCACTTGGCGAACCCTTGTGGGCATTCTGCGTGTGGAGAATGCTCAACCAAGTGGTCTCAACGCGTGAGTGCTTTTTTCCTTGCCATAGGGATGACAGTCTAATTAGTACGAATAGAAATGCAAACCCACATGTTTCGCCTGCCGTGCTCCGATGAACAAAACCACTCCCTTCATCCCTGGGCTGATCGTCGACAATCTTATCGAAAAGCAGATCAGCTCACTTGCTGAGAATGGGGACGAAGAGTGGCAGGAACAGGGGCCGAAGAAGAAGGAATGGGAACAGCGGAAATCGTATGTCTGCATCCCTTCTGCGCGCATATATGGTCTCACACTGGCGCGCAGGGCATGGACGAAGCAGAAGTCAGAGTCGAAAGTTCGCGTACAGCGAGTCAACACGATCCAACGCGCTATGATGATGAATGTGCGGCCTGAGGTCGTGACTATCTCCGACGAGAGCAGTGAGGAAGAAACCGAGGACTTCGTTCAGGCTTATGACGATCCGACACCCATCAGGCAGGCCCCAGTTGTCACGGTATGGAGGGACATCGAAGATATGCTCCGACGCCCCCGGGTAACAAGGCATATGCTTCAAACTCCGCGAGATGAGGACTACGTGCCAACCCAGTTGCCTGGTGAGGTGGAAGCTGTCGCAGAACACCCTGCTGTGAGAGAAACAAGGAGAATACACAGATGAACTTCGTGCTATTGTTTGCTTCATTGTATTCTATTCTTTCCATCGTCATGACTATACATGATCATCCAGCTGTAGGCGTCATTCACGACTCGCACTTGTACATTATTGATAAACATGAAATGCATCCTCATCCAGTCTTCACTGCATCATCACCCAATCTCAACCACCTGCTTCCTGGGCTGCGACTGTATACCTTATCCCAGTTGAAAGGATCTCCTTTCCTGGACCCGATGAAGGCGACTCGCTTCAGCTTGGGACAGGCTTTACCAACGGCATCTCGGAACTTGAAGAATGTGAAAGGTGCGACCTGTTGCATCCGACGTCCATCAAGCGATAGCCGCTCCAAGCTGCAGAGTCTTGAAAAAGCGGATAGTGTTTCCGGGGAGCCCAGGACTGCCATTGCCTGCGTGACAAGTAAGACGAGGCTCAGTTACGGCGAAACTGAAAATCGTGCTTGCCTCGTTACAATCGCGCCACAGGACAAACAGCGTGATGTCGATCACATGGACCACGCTGCACAAGATAGCACGCAGTGTATCCCGCGATATCTGGGTTGACACCAAGAGGAGATGTTTGACAGGTCCTGTAGATAAAGCGAGGCAACCCGGTTGGGAGGCGCTCAAAGTCTCGAGGTTTGAACGATTTCCACTCCAAGTATATGCCTGAACCGGGCGTTTCGGTACAAAGTAGGCCGCGTTCACCCACGTGCCGTTGAACCTTGTCAGCCGAGGCAGCAGAACATCGTCCTTCGGCAGAGCAACTTCGATATCGCAGTACAGTTCTGCATCGTCGACTCGCACTTGCTGTTGGAGGAATCGGACACCATTCGATCCGACCGAGCCTTCGATAGCCAGTCGACGCAGCCGGAAATTGCATCTCAGCAAGTTGAGGAAGTCTTCATCAGAGCTAGTAATAATCCGGAGGAAACGAAGTCCGGTCATACAGGGCAGCAACTTGCAGACAAGACGAGTATACGACGGCATAAGTACATCTCGATCGGGTTTCTGGAACAGCTTTTCCGTAAAGTCCAGCTGGAGCGCTCGTACGCCAACAGCCAGCTGCGGCTTGAACTGAAGCGTCCTACACGCTCGTGTCACCGCGATCCGTATTTCGGCATCCTCGAGCCTGCGAGACTTGGGAAGTCGCTGGAAGTCGTGTAGGTTGTCATAGAGCCGAGGCTGGGCGAGCTGACTGATATGCCAGCATATCAGACAGGCTGAGTAGAAGTCCGCGCGTTTGTCTAGGAAGACGAGGATATATTCAAGGATGTCGTCTGGGAGTTCCTGAAGCCGCATGTTCGACAGGGGAGGACTGTCGGTACATGAGCTCCTCTCAATCACGAAGCGGCCAGGAAAGGGTCGACTCGTTGATGATGTGGATTCGGAACAGAAGAGACGGGGGCGGATCAATGGCAGTGCTATCAGTCTCCGGCTCTCGTGATTGACACCGTGATGACATGAGCGTGTTCTGAGCAAGGCATCTTGAAGGAATAATGACGGCAAATCAGCATTTCACAGCGATAACCATAACTTCGCAATACGATCCATCGAACCCGGACTGATGGGCCGGGCGCTATCCGCAACATGGAAAAGCCGATTATCGAGCAAATCGGAATCGGTGATCCACCCCATCCCGAGACCCGGAGAGATGTCAAAGAGGCTGGAACACTATTTTTGTACGTCGCAACCCTCCTCTGAAGGAGGTAGAGAATCCTATTCGTATGAATCTCGTCAAGACTCCGGAAGCCGAAGCGAGTTTCTTCGAGATCCGCCCACTATACGTGTACTCGTTGCACCTCAGTAGCTCAAGAATCGCTTTCCTTTAGTCCCAGTGCCTGCTTCAGAAATTCTTCCCTTTCGCCAACGACGTGACATGGATAAGTTGTGGGCACTGTATGGCGCAGTCGGGTATGCAACTTCCCTGATCTGCTTTAGTGAGATGCAGCTACCTGCAATGGCACCTGGACACCTGCCAAGCAGAACACGGCGACTCGTTCTAACTGACAGCTGGCCAGCACCGCAGCGGCAACACCAACAGGCACATCAAACGTTGAACAATGTGGGTGAATCATTGCGCTGCACTCCCCGAGTCGCCGCGGCCTCACCGGAGATGTGAGGAATAAATTGGTTGGAAATGATTGGTGGAAATCTCCGGTCCGCAGAATGCGATAGAAGAGTGGTGATTTCTTTCTGTACGCCTAACAAAAGTAAGATAGATCAACCATCGCTCGTCTTTGGTAGCGACATCCTGTTATGACGAGGATGGAGTGATGGACGAATGGGAAGTGAGACATTTACCATCGCCGTGAGCTGATGTCGTGGAGCGGGATCAAATAGACGCGTGTTGAATGATGGTTCGAGTGGCAGTGCAGAAGTCATCGCAACTGTTCTGAGCAGTGGACTTCCCTGACTTGGCACGGCTGGGCGGGTACTCCCACCATATCGAGCAACGACCGCACTTGTTATATCATGTCATTCCTCACCACCCTCGCGGCTTAACTGCTTTCCTTCTTTCTTCTCCCCCCACCTCGTACACACTTATCTCTCCCCTCTCCGAGGTTGATGAATCTCGCCCACTTGTCTCCTCGTGAGCGTCGTGCAGGCCTCACCGCCGCACGCGCAATACTCTCCCCATTGAAGAGAGACAAACGTCGCCAGCAACAGAATCGGGAGGCCCTCGACCTCCACTACGACTATAACCCCAACGCGTTGGCCTCTGGGGGTCCTGGAGACCCAAACGCTCCGAAGCCACCGGACATACATTCCAGTGGGGACCCCACTGGAGAGTTGGGGGGCGGGCAGGATGGCGAGACTGGAGGTGGTCCGAAGGCACCTGATGCGCTGCCCGAGAGCGCTCCGCTTAAGATGATAGACAGGCTTAGTGCGGTGATGCGCAAGATCGGACATCATTGTGCGTATCATATTGGTCCAGGCATCATAGCCAGCGTGGCGTACTTTGATCCGTGAGTCTCCATTTTTGCTCCTTATGGGTAATGGATGTTGATATCTTGGCTGCTTTAGAGGCAACTGGACCGTCGATCTCCAGGCTGGTGCGGAGTATGGGTATTCCCTGCTCTTCGTCGTCCTCATTGCTGGCCTGGGCGCCGTGCTCCTCCAAGTTCTCGCCTGTCGGATGGGCGTAATCACCGGCCTAGACCTGGCACAACACTGCCGTCGTCTGCTCTACCCGCGCAAGCTCACACGTTATTTTGGACTGTACCCTCTGTACTTCCTCTCCGAAGCGGCGATCATCTTCACCGATCTTGCCGAGTTACTCGGGTCAGCCATAGCGCTCAACCTGATCTTCCCGTCTCTCCCTCTCTGGGCGGGTGTACTGATCACCTCCGCTGATGTCCTTGTCATCCTCGCACTCTGGCGCCCTGCGCCAGATGGCGGACTAGGCAAAGCGGGCCGAGCTTTTGAAGCGGGTATCATCATCCTCTGCCTCGCCGTTCTAGGATGCTTCGTCGTCCTCATCGTCCGCGTCGGTCCGCTCTGGGGACCGGTATTCAAGGGCTTCATCCCCAACGGCGCTGTATTCCAACCCAATGGGTTATACATCTCCATCGGCATCCTGGGTGCCACCGTGATGCCACACGCGATCTTCCTAGGTAGCGCGCTGGCGACACAGAGCCGTCATCCAGCACACGCGAGGGCCGCGGGGCTCGCTCGCGCCTGTCCAACTCGCAACGGCTCAACAGAGGGCAGCCCGACTGCTCCCCAGCTCCCTGCGCTCCTCCCCCTCCCAAGCATAACCTCATATCCATCTTCACCCGTTCACGCCCAGATGGACGAAAGCCCGAAGAGCTCCGTCGTCCATCCCTCGGTCTTTGGAAAGCTCGAGAGCCTCTTTATCTGGGACCCGCGTATGGAGGCCCCGCGCTGGGAAGGGAATAACAGTATGGCTTTTGTGCGCGCGCATTTGGGCCACGCCACGACGGATATCGTCTGCAGCTTACTGTTGCTGGCGTTAGTCATCAACTCCGCGTATGTCTTACATCTCGAAAGTGGGGATGATACTAACAAATGATGGACGATTAGGATCCTCATCTTGGGTGGTACTGCCTTCTACTACCACACCGGACCCAGCCCAGACGCCGATATCTTCAGTGCTCACGCCCTGCTCTCGGACAAACTCGGTCCACCAGCAGCGTTCCTTTTCGCGTTCGCCCTTCTCTGTTCCGGCCAAAGCGCAAGTGTGACCGCCACCATGGCAGGGCAAGTCGTTTCCGAGGGTTTCCTGGAATGGCGTGTCTCCCCATTCGCGCGTAGGCTGTTGACCCGCCTCATCGGCTTGATACCTAGTACGATCGTCGCCGTCACCGCTGGGAGGACGGGATTGGATACTCTGCTCGTTGCGAGCCAGGTTGCGCTTAGTATCTGCCTTCCAGGGGTCATACTTCCGCTGTTGTGGGTCACTGGAGGGAGGAAAGCACGGATGGAGGTTGTTCTCGATGAAACCCCTTTCGAGCGCCCTTCCTCCGCAATCTCGGCTCCGCAGTCTTCCGACGTGCAAGCAACTGCTGATGTCCATCCCGTCCAACTCAGCCAAGCCACCGCAGCTACAGATGCGGAGCAAGGCTCCAAGCACGTCAAATCGTATGCGAATCATTGGACGGTCAATGTCCTCGGCTGGTTGCTCTTCGTGGCTATCTGTCTCGCCAATGGATATGCGATCGTTGAGCTTTGCTTGGGAAATTCGGGGTGATCAGGATATCCATCGAGAGCAGGTGATGGAAATAAGAATGACGAGAAAGTGAACGGACTGAGCTCTGATGATGAAATGCGCACTCTTTTAGTTACATGGACTCGAAGACCCATACATCCAATCGTTGGTGCAATCATGTGCCTCTTGAAGCTGCCACCGCTTGTCTTTTAGACGTTCAATAGAATGCCGTGCAGTATTACATTGAAAGTCGGGTGTGATATGAACTACAGTATAATGGGTGCGTAAGCAGGTATATCATGATTTGTACATGAGAAGTGTTAGGGGAGTGGAGTGTGATATAAAATACAATATAGTGGGTGCGTAAGCAGGTGGATCATGAACATACGTCAGGAGTTTTAGGAGACATGGTATGTAAATCTGCCCTTTTTTTTTCTCGACTTACCCAACTCCTCTATGGCATCAGCGGTCGTTGCCCCCCGCTGCGTCTATCCGCTTCCATATATCCGTTGTTGTCATACACAAATGGTTCGCACCTCCGGTCGAAACTCGGCCATCGTCTTCCCGATCTTCTCTGAAATGCCGTCCGACACCGATGATGGTACGCCTTCGCCTTTCCGTCCATCCGATCGATCCCAGGGTGCTCTGATGGCCGTGATTGCCTCATCATCTATCGGCATATCCAGCGAGAAAGTAAATTCCTTCAGATTCGGCAACCAAGACTTGTCCCGCAACCTCTGAATCCATGGCTCCGCATCGGTAATAATGTCAGGCGGGCCCCAGATGAGTTTGAGGCAGGACCACGGGAAGCCCATTTAGTGTGGCTTCTTCAAAGTAGCTCAGTATCCTGTGAGAAAGCTGTAGCATTCGAAGGCGAGGCATCTTTTGAAAAGAATCCAGGTATTGTTGCCAATCAAAACAACTGGCGAGATCACACCCGTTGGTGCCCGTGAGAACAAGCTCCTCCAGCTCTTCCAACATATGTGTTTCCTCCGCCATCCAGCAGATCATGTCCATCACGTTGTTCTCTACCATGATCAGCCTCCTCAGCTTGAGTGGAGACGGCAAGGTAGGAAACCTTAGTCCAGAGCAATAATTCAGATAAAGCGTTGTTATTCGGGGAAGTAGGGTGCTTTGAATGCTTGTCTCGAGCTCGATCGCTCCGCTGATAATCAGCGTCTCGAGCGGGAAAGGCGTCCGGAACATGTCGAATTCATCGAGCGAACAGTATTCGTGACACCCAGCAGCCAGTTCGAGAAGGCGTGGCCGGATCCCGTCCAGTACTTCAGCGAGAGCCTTGATCCATTCATCATGCATGAAGAACTTGTGGAAGGGGAGCCCGTCGATGGGCGGAATACTTGCACTCTTCCTATCTGCACGGAGAATCTCCTTCACCCGAGTTGGGATACTTTGCTTCAACAATGGAGCAGGTCGTTCCCAAATGGGCAGAGCTCGCGGGATGATCTGGCGGTTGTCTCCAAGATCGATGTCAAGCAGATGGCGCAAGCCGAGCCTGGTTGCCTCCTCTCCCAACGGTGCAGCATGAGCCTGAAGAGCACGACGTGTAATTTGGGTTGGTGTCATTGATGTTGTCAGTATTGCACGTATTGTGCGTTGCATAGACATGCTGATCCCGGAATTCCGCGGTGAGGAGAGTATGATGAAGGTGACCTGAGAGAAAGCGGTGAGGGAAACAGAAGCAAGAAGATTGCGCAACGCGCACTGTCTATGACTAACTCCAGAGCATGATGGAACATCAGATCGTGGAGTATGGGGTGATCACCAGCTAATACAGCTGATACATAAATGAGTTGATATATTGATAAATGAGTGGGGTGAAGACAGGATTGGTGAGGAAGGTGTCGCGTATCTATACAGCTGCAGATACTTGTAAGTTGCAAGACTTCGGACTTCTCCCACTCCCATGTATTGATGATGTTAGGATTAACATACACAGTCCCCCTTCCTATTCCCGATTTCTCCGGAACCTCTGGGTAGCGAATTCCATTACACTTTCATCCATGTGTGATAACCGCGATCTTTACTCCTGGTCGAAACTCGGTCATCGCTTTACCGATTTCAAAGGAAACGATATCCGATGCTGTTGTTTTCTCTCCGGTATACTGCTGTACTTCCGATCGCTCCCAAGGTGGTCGAGCGTCTTTGCTTGCGACTTCGTCGGTTTTCATATCCATCGAGAAGATGAACTCTTTCAGATTCGGCAGCCACGACCTGTCTCGTATCCTCTGAGTCCATGGATCGTGATCGGTAACAGCCCCAGGTGTGCTCCAGAATCTGAAGCACTCGAGTGCTTGAGGGAGAAACTGGGGAAGAGCATTCATCGTGATAGGTCCATAGTCTCGAATCGGCAACCGTTCGGAAATTTGCAATACTCGGAGACGTGGCATTTTTTGGATAGATGACAAAAATTGTTCGAGTTCGTAACAGGTCATGAGATCACAACCGTTTGTGCCGATTAGTACAAGTTCCTCCAGTTCCTCGAGCATGTGCGTGTCCTCCGCCAGCCGGCATATCGTGTCCATTATGTCGTTCTCCTCCACAACCAATCTTCTTAGCTTGAGGGGCGGGGGGAAGCGCGGCAAGTATATACTACAGCAAAGGTGAAGTCGTAGGCTGGTTATGTGTGCTAGCTGGGTGCTTTTTAGACCGATGTCAGGTCGACATGCACCGCTGAGAATAAGTGTCTCGAGGGGGAAGGGCGTACGCAGTGTGCTGAATTCATCAAGCGAACAGAACTCATCCCACCCGCAGGAGATCTCGAGTAGGCGTGGCTGCACACCATCAAGTTCTTGAAGAATATCCAGGCCGGAGGGAGTCTCCGTCCTGACATTCGTCAACCGGAGGGCATCGATCGAGGGCACATCGTTCTCCTCCCGCCCGTAGCGTGTTGTACTGATGACCTCCTTTACTTGGGCTCGTGTGTCATTCTTTCCCTGCACGTTGAGGTTCAAAAGATTCGTGCGATCCAAATGCATATGTGGCAACTGGTGTGCATTGTTTATCACCTCGACCTCGAGCAAATGACGCAAACCGAGCTTAGCTGCTTCTTCCCCCAAAGGGCCAAATTGAGCTTTGATGGCGCGGCGTGCGAGATGGTTTGTTGTGATCGTCGTCGTTAGCATGTTACGCGCTAGTGGATGTAGCGAAATCTCTGGTCTACGATTTGCGACACGGAGAGTAAATGTGTGTATGTGGTTCAGGAGGGGAACGAAGGCAGTTGCGCCCCGCGCCAAACTTGGTCAGTAACTTCCGACTCACCTCGACTCACTCTCGACTTCAGCACTAATCTGTAAACTGGTTACAGTTAAAAAAAATATCAGACCGTGCGCCATACGACGTAGGAAAGAATGCGCTAGTGGACATCATAGAAGAAGTCGGAAAGTCTCGGATTGACTAGTCTCAGCCCCAATGACTTCACACGAACTGGGACAGGTCGCACAAACATGATACCTGCTGGGTCCTCTCCGACTTGTATTTGAATTCTGAAAAGGGCACTGTTAGCTCGGGTTGATGGACGCGAAGGAATGAGGCGAGATGGGATGGATTGGCGTAGGATTATGTAGCAGATCGGATACTAAAGGTGCGCATTATCTCTCTTGCCCACGCTCTATCACTACTGACAAACTTCATAGTTCAACTGCCTGATGAACGAGTCTAATTCTGTTCATTCCGATCCAGCTCTATATGTCGTGCCCGTACATTTGACTACCTGTTCCACCCTCGCGGCCCACCCATACGCTCTGTCAATCCGGTCCGTTCTATTCGCCATCACAACATCCATCGAAGTGCTCCATTCGTTCGCCTAGCCCATTCGCCAATATCATCCATCAATAGGCGTTGTAAGATATCGTTATTGAAGACGTGTTCGCTAGGACTTTTACAGAATCGGCGCGTAATGATATTGAGTGGATCGAGATGTATTCAGTAGTGAGGGGCTTTACAAACATACTCAGACGGGAATGTGATAGCCTATTTCTCTTAAAGAGCTCTGTTTGTGTGTTTCCTCCCCGTCCGGACATGGAACCATGGTATAGACATGTTTCCTTCAATACCCCTGTGCAGGAAATTCCCATTCATGCTGAGCTTTGTCATGCACACAGGATATTCACCTCCGGTCGATAATCCATCATCGCCTTGATGACCTCCCGGGAAACGCTGTCCACTGTCGCCGTTCGCTCTCCTGTCTGATCGAGTCCGTCCACTTGCTCCAAAACTGCTCCAGCAGCCATAGGCATACCTCCATAGTCACTTGGCATATCTTGCGCCAAAGCAAACTCCCTGAGATTCGGTAACCAAGTCTTGTCTCGCACTTTTTCGACCCATGGGTCGGAATCGGTAATAGTCTCAGCCGCAACCCAAATCCTCAGATACTCGATCGTTTGAGGGAGAACGTCGAGAAGCGCATTGAACGTGTAGCCTTTCATCCACCTGCTGTACATATGGTGAGACAGTTGCAGGACTCGAAGGTGTGACATCTTCCGGATAGACGCAATAAATCGATCGAATTTGAAACAACCAAGATCGGATCCGTTCGAATTGCTGAGAAAAAGCTCCTCCAACCCCTCCAGCATGCGCGTGTTTTCCGCAAGACGACAGAGCGTGTCCATCACATCGTTCTCCTCTAAGAACAATCTCTTTGGCTTGAGCAGAGACGGTAGGCGTGTGAACCTCAGACCCACGCAATAATGTAGGCGTAGGGTGGTTACGTGCGCGAATTGCGCATCTTCGTGAGTCCCGTCAAGTTCGGCTGCGTTTGTGATGATAAGTGTCTCCAGCGGGAAGGGTGTATGGAGGGACGCGAGTTCATTCAGTGAACAGTACTCCCTAAATCTGCAGAAGAGCTCGAGTAGGCGTGGTCGTACACCATCCAATGCTTGAACCAGGAGTCTGCCGGGTGTTTCATCAAAATCCCCGAGGTTAAACAAACGGAGTGCGTCGATGGGCGGGATATTACTGTCCTCCGGTCCGTGTTTTGTGGTCTTGACGAGCTCTCTCACTTGGGCCGCTATCACCAGCTCCGAGGTCCTCCCTGGCCTATATTCCACCCGACGACTGTGTTGCTGAGTTGGTATCAGGCCTTCTTCGGACTCTGGATTTGGTAGATCGACCTCAAGCAAGTGACACAAGCCGAGCCTAGCCGCTTCCTCTCCTGTAGGTCCAGAATCAGGTTGTTCCGCGTGTCGTGCGAGTTCATTTGCTGTGATGGTCGTCGTCAGTATTGTGTGCGTTATTGGATCCATCGATAATATCAGTCTGACACAAGCTAGCAAAAAAGTGAACTGTCGTAGAACTCAGGAGAGGAATGCCGCGCGGGCAATTTTGGCCCCAGGTACGGTCAGGCTCATGAATGGGCCAGTCACAACCAATCATATCCACCACACCTCACCTAGTCTGTCAACAAACATACAATTAAATCAGGCCTTTGATGGAAACACAGAATGACTCCACTCTCTGAAAAATCTTCATGAATCATTGTGCGAGGTAATGGTCTACGTATGATGGTGGTATCACCATAGCCAACAAACAGAGTTGAAGCTCCATAAAATGAATTGAGATTATCAAATGCCGTTTGAATGGATTCTGTATTCCACCTCTGACTTCCCTTTTATGACGCAAACTCGTTCTCTGCTTTGATCAGTGTCGTGCACACGTGATCTTCACCTGCGGTCGATACTGGACCATCGCCTCGATGATCTCGCGGGAAACGCGATCCAATGTCGCCGTTTGCTCTCCTGCCGAATCCGTTCGCTCCCAAGGGGCTCGAGCCCACAGCCATGCCGAGTGATCACCTGTTGGCATGTCTTGCATTAAAGCAAACTCCCGGAGATTCGGTAACCAAGTCTTGCCTCGCACCTTTTCGACCCATGGATCGGAGTCAGTGATAGTCCCAAGCGGACCCCAAATCCTCAAACATTCGACCGTTTGAGGGAGAGCCTCAGGAAACCCATTGAACGTGGGGATCCCAATGCGCTCTGACAATTGTTGACACAGTTGCAGGACTCGAAGGTGTGTCATCTTCCGGATAGAGGCAATGAATTGATCGAACTCGAAATCCCTGCGCCCAATTCCGTTCGAATTCGTGAGAAAGAGTTCTTCCAACTCCTCCAGCATGTGGGTACCCTCCGCCATTAGACAGACCATGTCCATCACCTCGTTCTCGTAGAGGATCAGTCTCCTTAGCTTGAGAGAACGTGGTAGACGGGAAAACTTCAAACTCCTGCAAGAATTCAGTTGTAGGGTGGTTACTCGTGCAAGTAGGGCGCTTTCGGGACTCGCGATAACTTCGGTTGCGTGTGTGATCATGAGTGTCTCGAGCGGGATGGATGTATGCAGCGACGCGAATTCTTCCAGCGAGCAGACCGAAAACCAACAAAAAAGCTCGAGCAGACGCGGTTGCACACCATCTAATGCTTGAACCAGAAGTGCCATGGGTGCTCCATGAGACCCGAAGCGAATCAAACGGACGCCGTCGATCGGTGGAAAACTCCTGTCCTCCCATCCGTGTTTCGTGGTAGTGACGGCCTCCCTCACCTGAGCGGCGACGTCACGCACGAGCTCAGCGGTTCTCCCCTGACTATGTTCCAGCCGTCGATTTTGGTGTTGAAATGGCATCAGGGGTTCGGAGTCTCTCAGATCGACCTCGAGCAGGTGACGCAAGCCGAGTCTGGCGGCTTCGTTTCCGAAACGTGCAAAATGTCCCACGTCCACGCGCTCTGCGAATTGATTTGCTCTGATGATTGTCGCTAGCACGTGTACGTCATTGGATATATCGTTGTCAGTAGTCAACACACAAGTGTATCGTAGGATAGCAAAAGGAAAGAACGGGAGGAACTCGCCAACGCACGTCTCCTAGTCCGAAACAAATACAAACACAAAGCGGGTCTTGATGTATGATTCTACTTCCCTATACATTGGAGTTGAAACTCAAAGTCAATCAAGTGGGGACTATATTTCACCTCCGACTTCATTTGTACTGTAAATTCGCCGCTCTAAATATTATTCACTGTCATGCACGAATGATCACCACCTCCGGTCGATATTCTACCATTGCCCTGGTGATTTCGGAGCAAACGTTGTCCGATGTCGTCGTTTGCTGTCCTCTCGACTCATGTTCGCCGGTTCGCTCCCATGGTGCTCGAACAGCTATCCTTGCCGCATATTCTTCGGGCATATCCAACGACAAGGCAAACTCCTGGAGACTCGGTAACCAGGACTTGGCTCCCAGCCTCTGAGTCCATTGTGTGGAGTCGGTAATAGTCCCAGGGGCGCCCCAGAACCTGAAGCGTTCGAGAGTTTGGGGGAGGAATTCGGGAAGCGCATCCAGCGCAAGCCCTGTGAATGGCAATCGCTGAGACAGTTGTAGCAGTCGAAGGTGTGACATTTTCTGAATAGAGGCCAGAAATTCCCAGTATTCAGTAGAAGAAAGATCACACTCGTTGGTGCCGGTTAGTATGAACTCTTCGAGGCCCTCTAGCACATGAGTACAGTTGGACAGCCGAGTTATCGTGTCCATCGCGTCGTTTTCCTCTACTTGTAGCGTTCTCAGCTTGAGCGCGGGCGATAGAAAGAAAGGGCTTAATCCGCAGCAGAAATGCAGGCGGAGGGTTGTCATGTGCGCCAGCTGGGTGCTTTCGGAACTGGCTTCTAGCTCGCATGCTCCGGTGATAATAAGCGACTCGACCTGGAAGGGTGTGTGCAGCATGCCGAATTCACGGAGTGAACAGTATTCTTCATATCCACAGGCCAGTTCGAGGAGGCGTGGTCGCAGGCCATCTAGTGATTGGGAGAGAGGCAGGGCAGGGCATTCATACTTCCAGAGATTCTTCAAGCGAAGTGCGTCGATGGGCGGGATGTCCTTGTCGTCCCGCCCATCCTGCACCGCCCGGACGATCTTCCTCACCTGGGCGACGACGCCATACTTCATCCATTCAGAGACATTCCATGGAACTTTGGTCACCCTGCGTCTCCAGTTTCCAATTGGTTGCTGCGCTTCACGGTCTGCGTGGCTGCCCAGATCGACCTCCAGTAAGTGATGCAACCCGAGCTTCGCCGCTTCTTCACCCAAGGGGTTGGAGTGGGTTTGGACCACGCGTTGTGCGAGTTGGTTTGCTGTAATCGTCGTCGTGATCATCGTGTATCCCATCAGAGGCGTTATGAACTAGGCTACTGAGCGTAGAATTGATGATGCGGAAAAACAGTGATGTGATGTGATTGTAAGGAGCTTGGAAAGGAACGGTGACGGTGACGAGCAGGACGCGTCAACAACCAGATTTTTATGAACCCTGCAACTACACTAAACATGGTGCACGATGAGCTGGCATTTTCCAACACGTGTCCAAGGACACCCAATTCTCGCAAACCTTACTATACATTTCCGAATTGCGAATGAATGAAAGCACACTCTAACACACAGACGCATATCAGTAGTGTTATATTCTCGAGCCCCTTTTTTAAATCCATCCACCCACCAAATGTCATCGAAGTGTGATCAGTGAAGGTGTGATCCTGGATCGCAAGCGCTGAACGGTGACGCTCGAAGTCCGATCAACTCTTCAATATGCAGAGTGACTTCATTTTGACATTTGTGTCATTCACCGGTGATGATTACCCCCGGTCGAATCTCCGCCCTTGCCTCCATGCCTGTCCGATATCGCTGTTTCTCGTCTTTCGCTTTCATGTCTTCCCACTCGCTCCCAAGGTAGGCGAGCAGCCTTCCTCAATGTCCTGTCGGTCGGCATGTCCATTGAAAACACAAACTCCTGCATATCAGGCAGCCACGACTTGTTTTGTGCCCCCTCTGAATCCATAGATCGGAAGCAGAGATAGTGTCAGCAGCGCCTCAGAGTTTGAAGGATTGGAGTGTCGAGGGAAGAAACTGAGGAAGGGTGTTCAACGTGAAGGTCCCATGGCTCCGGGTCGGCAGATGCAGAGATAGTTGTAGAACTCGGAGGTGTGACGTCTTTGGAACGAAAGCCATGAATTGATCGATTTCGCAATGTTTGCGATCAGAGCCGTTCGTGCCTGTGAGTGCGAGCTCCTCCAGCTCTTCCAGCATGTTCATATGGGCGCCAACCGGAAGATCATGTCCATCACAGTCTTCCTGCAACACCAACCTGCTTAGCTTGAGCGGAGGTAGTAGGCGGGAAATATCACACGGGCGCAACTAATGCAGGTAGATGGTGCTTATATGCGCTATTTGGGTGCTTTCAACACTGGCGTCTAGCTCGCGTTCGTCATGATATGAGTTGGGAAGGGCGTTTGAAGAGGGTCGAGCTCGTTGAGTGAACAGCACTCATCATAATTTCAAGTCGACGTGGCCGCAAGCCGACCAGGGCTTGGACGGGAACTACTCGTGATTCGCCACACGGACCGCATGGATCGGCAGGATTTCCATGTCCGGCTGCTGATCCTGCGGCGTGGACGGCCTCCTTCACGTGAGCGAGGATGCCGTGCTTCTTCGCCCATTCAGATTAGTTCTCTTGGCTCGATATGTACCGCCCTGCGACCCTGCTGCTCTGTCGAACTGGTCCTTCAAGCTGCGTTCGTCGTTTCCCAGCTCGATGTGGAGCAAGTGATACGAACCGAGCTTGGCAGCTTCTTCTCCTGGGGGGTCTGAATGAACTAGGATTGCCCGTTGTGCCAGTTGGTTCGCTGTGATTATCGTTGTAAGCATCGTGGGCATCATGGGATGTATTGGCTTGGCAGGTTACGTACTTCGCGATGTATAAGGAACCGGGGGTGAGTCCGCGGGGCTAGGGGAGTTGAAGAAATTGAAGTAGCTTGATCCAAGCTGACTTGGACAACTCTATGCTCAGCTCCGCGGGTCTTCTTGAGAGAGGTCCTCCGATGTCCGCCGTTCACCGTCACAAACAGTGTTCAGAGGGACAAGGGACATTCAGAGCATGGGATATGGGTTGTTCTTCGAAGCTGTTCAACCCGTGGTCAAACAGGGGAGTCATGACAGGCAAGTACGCACGGAGGCAGAGAAAGTGTTCACATTTCCATGTGGCGTGGTAGCCTATTACCAACCAGACGCAGAAAGGTTATAGAGCAGAGAGAGAGAGCAATTACATTACATAGTAAAAGACAAAGTAAAACCGTGTTTAGCGATATATGTATATCTCGGATCGTGTCACAGTTCGGCCCATCCAGGTTCATCCAGATCACCCCCCAACAAACCGAGACAGAACACAATCACACCTGCTGTCAGAGCCATGCCGTAGCCACGATACAGCTGACGAATTACTGTGCTCGTCCAGAAGCTCGTTGCTGCCTTCTCGCGATGTTCCGGTAACGGTGGCGGCACCGATGACTCCTCGGACATGATCCGGTAGAGTGTGTCGATGATGCCGTGGTAGGGCATGGGACGCGTGAGGACGCGATGTTGCGGTAATTGGGGGGTATGATCATCTTCAGATGTCGTGACGGGAGGGGGGTCCACCAAATTCAGTGCTGTTTGTGCCTGCAGCCGTCGCTTGACAGTCTCGAGAGGCAGGGTGATCAGCAAGGATGCGGCAGTGAACACCAAGCTAAGAATAGGTTGCAGAACAGGACTTGCAACAAGCGTTGGGGTGAGGGAAGGCGGGAGTAGACGTGGAAGGCATAAGGAAAGGACGTGGGGAATGGAGGACGTCAAGAGGGCTGGCAACAGCAAGTGGGGGTGCATGTACTGAGCCATCAGGGAGGAGAAGTACAGGCGAGGCGGTGGAGTGGTGCGTTGATCGGGTGGCAATGATCGGGATGAAGGGTTGAGAATTAGGTGTGTACGCAGGTGATCCAGAGGAATCAGGAGAACTCCAGTCATGACATGGGACAGAACCAACGGAATAGGTGCGGGTCCCAATAGTAAATCCGGTGGTGCAGCTGCTAGGAAGGGTATGCTCGCGAGAATCGTGTGCAGGAAGGGTTGTACCGTAGACGTCAGGATGTCGATCGTCGTAGACGGTAGTTGTCCTGATTTGGTTGTGTCAACGGATGCGACATTCTAATGATAGACGCATACGCACCATTCCACAGCGTGTAGACACCTTCGGTCCGAGTGCGCATAGTCCGCTTGATCATGCCCCATACGCCAGGATCGCCAAATGGAGGTAGAACCCATGGAGGTCGTCGGTAGATACCGACATTCATCGGCGTCGGGCGCGTGGATGACCGTCGTCGCACTGTCATTGAAGATGTTCGACGGGTAAAAGGGTGAGCTATCGGATTGGGTGAAGGATCATAGAAATAAGATGGGCCAGTATCCTATCTCAAGAGTCAACGCGGCTTGTATATGCAAGAGGATGGACACTTACTGAAGCGTCCGACGCATCATCCCTCTCATCCTCGACCTCCTCATCGACCCATTCAGCTACGCCGTCTCTCGGTATCCACTCAACTTGGCTCAACACTTTTGCACCCTCAAATGGCATTGCAATTGCCGTGCTTGCATACTGGATGAGTAGCAAAGTTAAGATCTTGCGGGGCCAGGTGGAGGCATCGATGTCTGAGAATGCACCGGCCGCATTCGGTAGAGGGAGCTCCACGCGTGGGGAGGTGGCTGGTGGTGCAAATGATCCAGAAACCGCGTTTGTAGGGGTGTCAAACGTCCACGATGATGATGAGGGATGGTAGCCGTGTCGTAATGAGGGATTCGACATGGCCGACGGGTCTGTTGATGTGAGCTAAGCCCGAAGTGGTCGTCCGACCTTAACGACCACTCCCACACCGCTGAGAAACAGGGGCAGTTTTCTTGAGGACGACCCAGACGAATGAAACGCCTAAAGCGCAGGTGGTGGTGAGGAGACAAGAAGTGCAAGTTGATGGTGAGGAAAGAGCCGGTGCCGTTACGACTTCTGGCAAGGTGGACGACAGGTCGGCGCCATAACCCCCATGTAATCCAGTTGCTTCCGCGGAAGTAGACGTAAGCATATTCGCGAGAAGGCAGGCGGAGTCTGCCCGCTCACCTCGCGCATTGCCTCTGCCTGTGTTAGACCGCGTCACTTGTCGTATCGTCTTGTCCTGCCACACTGAAGCAAACTGCTGAACGAAATTGAGGAGGAGCTAGGCATGGGACGGGAAAGGCGCTCGCAGGCGCGCGTCTATGCTAATGTAAACGAACAATTGGGGAGATCATGGTGGGACTACGGTATGTGCCATCATGGAGCGCTGCGGAACACCAGCCTAATATATCCATAACCGTAGACAACCTCCAAGTGCAGTGGGGTAGTCAAGATCATTACGAGATTGTGCGGAAAGTGGGTCGGGGAAAGTATTCTGAGGTATGCCTTCATGATTCCGTTGCATGTAGACTGGTCCATTAAAAGGAGATATAGGTCTTCGAGGGTATCAATATTGTCACCGATACCAAGTGCATCATCAAGGTGCTCAAACCAGTGAAGAAGAAGAAGATAAAGCGCGAGATTAAAATCCTTCAGAACCTCGCCGGCGGACCCAACATTGTTGCCCTTCTTGATGTTGTGCGAGATCCAGCGAGCAAGATTCCCAGTCTTGTCTTTGAATGCGTCAACAATGTTGACTTCAAGATCCTTTACCCTAAGTTCTCGGACTACGATGTCAGGTTCTACATATTTGAGTTGTTGAAGGTGCGCATATTCTTGCTTTGGTCAGGGCATTACCCTTATCTGTATCCACAGGCATTGGATTACTGCCATTCTAAGGGTATCATGCACCGTGATGTCAAGCCACACAACGTGATGATCGATCATGAACGACGCAAACTCAGACTCATCGATTGGGGATTGGCTGAATTCTATCATCCCAATACCGAGTACAACGTGCGTGTGGCAAGTCGATACTTCAAGGGTCCGGAACTGCTCGTCGACTTCCAGGAGTACGACTACAGCCTCGACTTGTGGAGCCTAGGGTGCATGTTCGCGAGCATGGTAAGCCATTCCAATACGACCTGTCCGTGAAATGAATAGTGACAATCCTGCGCAGATATTCCGGAAGGAACCCTTTTTCCATGGCCATGACAACTACGATCAACTGGTGAAGATCGCCAAAGTATTAGGCACCGATGAGCTTAATGCCTACTTGGAGAAATATGACATCGAACTCGACAGCCAGTATGATGAGATCTTAGGACGCTACCCTCGCAAGCCATGGTCTCGCTTCGTCACGACAGATAACCAACGTTATATCACAAATGAAGCCATCGATTTCCTGGACAAACTCTTGCGCTATGATCATCAGGAGCGGCTCACCGCAAGGGAAGCGCAGGATCATCCCTATTTTGGTGCGCCGGAATCTAGTCAATGAAAGCAAGGTGTACTGACCGTATACCCATAGACCTTGTCAAGCAGCGTGAGATGATTGCCGATGTCAGTGGGGAGGAGTCGGGCTGAAGGGATTTCACCCTGCTCAACCCCCCTCCCCTCTCTTCCCCCCTCTCCCTCCCTCATTTTCTTCCCTTCGTCAACTTCCGCAAGTGCCCCTCTTTCGCACCCGAAATTCTGTTTTCTCATCTCCTTCCTTGTTGTCTTACATCCCGGCTTGGTATTATACAATATGATGGCGTAGGACCGAATGTGTTACGGTCTTTTGCTACGATGTTGCATATTTCCCTCTTCTGATCTCGCGTTGCGTTTGGATCGTCCCATCTTTCCAGAAGGTCTTGACACTGGTGTTGGAAACATTGCCTCGTGGATGAGTTCCACGGCCTGGTCTGTTCGCACTCCATGCACTGCCCAGCTCGGAATTCCGTCGGCTCAATAAGGTATGGTGAGCGGTCGAGTGTGAGCATATTGAATTGGATGTACAGAAGGGCTAGTTGAACTAGGAAGTAGGAGAGATCCGTCCATTCAATGCGATTGCCTGACAAGCGTGGCGAATCACCTCGCAGTGCCGCGGACTCCGTCGGCCGGTGTCCACTCCCATCTGAAAAGCGTCAGTCACGCCTATGCAAGAGCAGCAAAATTGCCTTTCATAAAAGCCTTCCGCGTTCAGCAAAGTCACACTGCAGCGGCCGATCGCGCCGGGGTGCAAAAAAATGGTGATGTTCCTGATGTTCCTGATGTTTCGTCGAGTGTATTCCCCGCGGGGCAAAGACCCTCGTAGCTTCCCAATCTCCACAACTGGAAAATGATCCTATTTAGGCAAGTCGTGCCAGCTGTACGTTTACATGAGATATCAGCGATACAGACTCCGGGAAACCGAGAAATACAAGGAAGGCAGTCAATGACCGTCGGATGATGCGGATACGCCCAAGACCTTGTCGCAAGAACGCGGCTGGGGCATAGCACTCGGGCTCGTGCCTTCGTTAGGACATGGTCCTATACGCTCGAGTGGGACGTCTGATGGTGAAGGGCTAATTTTCTGACCGCCGGTATCCAGACACCCGTGTACATAGTCCAGTCAGACGGGATAAAGACGTGCCGGTAGACATTTTCCGTGCTAGCTGATCTAAACTCGTGAGGTCTGGCACATGCGAGAGTATTTGGGTGCGTGTTGTTGAGAAGATAAGAGGTGCAAAGAATTGGATCTTTCGGTAATCCCAAGTGTCGGACCTTGTCATTGACATATTCTCCCGGTGTAGGGTTACCGATTTCGACCAGCGTCATGAAAGATCGTGGGTGACAGACAAAAGACCAGGCCCTCGCCCTTGCCACTCTCCAGTGAAGACGGGCCCTTCTACCGCAGGGAAGTATGCATCAATACAATAAAGGGTCATTCAGTTCGAGCTTGCCCCCTGTAGAACTGGCCACGTTCGGTAAGGGCTGTCGCCCGTTCAGGCAGGTGTTTGATATTGCAGGCTAAATGCAGACCACGCTACCGACGGGTGGGTCGAGTTCGGATACCGACGGCGTCCTTCAGAAGCGGCCGCAGCAGGTTCCGATCTTCATTTTGTCGGTTGAACTTAGTAAGTTGCAAGGGATTCGTCAACCCTCTCCATGCCCTCGGCCCGCTCAGGTGACCGGAAAACAAGAGACTTTAGGAATGAACGGCCCAGTATGCAGAATGCCCAGTTTAGTTCGTTCTGATCAGGACCTGCCCAGGGAAGCATAGAGATTCTGAAGACGTAGGCGAGAACCAGAGGGCAAGACATCCTTCGTGAGAACGAGAAGTGCATAGCGTCAAGGGACCAAGTCCGCGGAAACTTCAGAGGAGAAGCGACTTCCTTCAGCGGTGTGCAGGAAAATCCCATCCTTATCCCTTCTCACGGCTGACAACAGATAGGTTGATGTCGATTGTGCTGCGCAAATGGCGATCGCAGAAGCGTAGCAGAAGGGTGGTCTATTAAATAAGATCGGCAAAATCAGGCACTTCTGCAGCATGGGTCGACGGCGATGGAAAGCCACGCTGATTACATAATTTCCGAAATATTTGCCTCCCATTTTTTGCACCCGTGTCCGTCCGGCGAAATTTCTGGCAGCCACAACGTCGTCAAGAATTGAACGCCGTCGGCGAACCTCAAGACGGTCTGCTTCACTGTTTTGCCATTCGAGACGACCATCTGTTCTCTGTCATGCCTACTAGACTCGCTGCGCGCTCGTTGAGTCCGTTCATTCAGAGCATTGCCAGCACAAGCACGGGCAAGACACAGCATTACCTTCTCGCCGCACCCAGCCGCCGCACAATCTTTACCGGTTCAGTCCCAAATTCGAGCCATGCACACATACACAAAAGAAAGAGGTTATCAGAATATGGAAATAGCGTGCAACGCGTGAGTAGCGTTACAAAGCGGACTTGCTTCGATATTGACCAGCTGTTTTCAGCGTTGCTTCCATGCGTCACATCCCTCGAATGCCGCGACCAAGGATCCGTATCAAGTGCTGGGTGTGAAGAAGGACGCGTCCAAATCCGACATTAAGAAGGCTTACTTCGACGTGCGCTTGAGCTGCTGCTCCACGTTTTCACGTCAGCTGACGCAGTTTTGGTTACCAGCTCGCAAAGAAGTATCATCCGGATACAAACAAGAATGCGTCTGCGAAAGACAAGTTCGTAGAAATCCAGTCAGCTTGGGATGTGCGTAATTTCTCGGAATCTCAGCTCAAAATGAAAGTGACTGACACATCCGAATACTGTAGATCCTTAGTGACGATCAGAAGCGAGCAGCCTACGATCAGTACGGTGCTGCCTCCACTCAACCTGGTTTCGATCCAGATGCTTTTGCATCCGGACGTGGTCCATTTGGTGGCGGCGGATTTGGAGGTTTCCAGGACTTCGGTGGCCCATTTGGTGGTGCTGGAGGACGGTCAGGGGCAGATATATTCGAACAGCTATTCGGCTCCGCATTCGGTGGAAGACGTACACGAGGTTTTGCAGAGGAGGTCACACGAGGAGAAGACGTCCAGGTTTCCGTTAATATTGGCTTCCTCGATGCCTGCAAGGGCTGCGAACGAACGGTAAAAAGCACGCCAGTCGTGGACTGCAAGACCTGCTCTGGCACAGGCCTACGACCCGGTCACCAGATGGCTCAGTGCGGCGCATGTGGTGGGACAGGTACGCGGACGTTCATGCTAGATGGTGGGTTCCAGATGGCAAGCACGTGTCAAGCATGCCACGGTCGTGGAACGACAATACCCAAGAACGGATCATGCGTTGATTGTTCTGGCATGGGGAAGGTCAAAGAGCGTAAGACCGTGGATGTTACGATTCCTCCAGGTAAGAATCAGGGTTCTATCGATTGTATTGATTATGTCACCGACCATACGTTCTTGCTTCGTAGGCGTGGAAGACGGCATGGTCATCCGCATTCCGGGTCACGGCGACGCTCCAATGTCTGGCAAGGGTTCGGCTGGAGACCTGCACGTCCAGGTTCACGTTACACCTTCCAAGGTTTTCAGGCGACAGGGTTCGAACTTGTACCACGATGCGACCATACCCCTGCACACCGCCCTGCTTGGTGGACAGGTTAAGGTACCGACGTTGGATGGAGACGTTGCCGTCAGGGTCGTTCCTGGAACCCAGCAAGGGCAGGAGTTCGTTCTGAAAGGCAGAGGGGTCCCCTCGTTGCATGACAACAGCAAGAACAAAGGAGACCTTTTCGTCGCATTCACAGTGAAGCTACCAAGGTGAGTTCCCTGCTCCCTAGCCAGCCGATCCGACTGGGCGGACTTTGAATTACAGATATTGATGGTTATCCGCAGGAGCTTGACCACCCGCCAGCGTGAGATCTTGCAGGCCTATGCCGATGATGTGGAGGGACGGCCATCATCATGGGGCAGGATCCAGAAGTCATCCACCTCCCCCCCTTCGGATTCAGGATCGGGATCTGCAGCAGGATCTCAACCATCGTCTGCGTCGTCCGCGGAAGAGTCAGCACCAACGCATCGTGAGTCTTTTACTTAATCGCAGCGAGCACGTCGCCTGAGCCCTACAGGGTCAGGCGACTGGCTGTCGTCTGCTTGGAATAGAGTAAAGCGGCTCATCATAAATCCTTCTTCATCTGTCGCACCTAACAATACAGTGGAGGAAGGCTCTGAGCAATCTGAACACGAGGCTACCCCGAAGGCCAAGAAGAAGAAGGCAACTGCTTGATTGAGTGGTCAGTTCGTCAAATGTATCAATTGAAGAAGCGGCCGTGGGATTGAGAGGGGCCGAGGACAGGAAGACGCTGAGACAGCAGAGGATCGTGGATGTTCTCGACTATACGGGTAGTTTGAAGGTCGTGGCTTACTGGCGAGTCTTATCCTTATTGTTGCCCTTGCGCATCTGGAATAGACTTTAGACTTCGTTCCCGAGGACCATTGTACGCTTAACACCATCCAACACCTCTCTAACCACAGCGCGTCCTGTATCATCCATGACATTCCTTCCACGATTCTGGTCGGAATTCCTGTCCTGATGTTACTTTTTCATCAGTTTGCGGAGGTTGAATACGGTTCCGTCCTCGCATGTCCTCGGTCCCTTCTGCACGCGCTTCAAGATTTACCGTGAATGCGCTCATTGTCACGCTGCCGGCAGCCTGTGAGTGCCTTCGTTGCCAACTGGCGGCGGAAATCGAAGGATCTCTGCATCACCCACGTCTCGTGTTCTTCTACCATTGTCCTTGATGTTACGGATCTTTGGCCTCTATCGGCTGCGTGACCTCTCAAAAGAGAGGTCGAGTTCACCAACTGCATTTGATACGGGCCGGCGCTGACAGGGTTCACTCAATCTCATCTGATAACTGGCGCTTCTTTCTTTGACTTTCTCGCCGCGTATTGCTGTTTGTCGCCCACTGCACGGGCGAACTCCTCCCTTGCGCCGAATGCGCTGGGCTTTTTCCGTGATAGTCTCTGACCACTCGGGGTGACAACCTATTCCACAAATGGATCGCTTGTGCCATCTCTGTTATTTCTCCAGGCAAAGGCCCTCGATGTCTGCAGGTTCTGGCAAGCTCCGGATGTGCGGAAAAATCCCTCTTCATGCTGCCCCCAACCACACCCAGGCTGCACTTATATAGGGCTGCTGAGGAGGGGGATGAGTTGCTGACCCCGATTGCCGGCTGCTCGCTGCTCGATTGATCCTCTCCTTTTACTATGTCGACTCTCTTCGTTGTTTCTTCTCCTAAGGAGACTGGGCTGGCCAAAATTCCATCCCACGAGTCCAACTTGACCGAATCCTCAGATAGCGGGTCTACCAGGGGGGGTAAGTAATACAACTCTATCTCCTGTCTCCTAAAGCGGAGACTCAGTTGAGTCGGCTCCACGACTCTTGCTGACCAGATTAAACAGCCGCTCAAGCATGCAGGGAGAACGTGGCATCGCCGTCTCATGCCCGGTTAGTGGTTATCATGATTGCGTGCGTCTAGATATGCCTTCACATCACCGTCTCACGGTTTGATCGCAGGTTAAACATGGCGTTATTTCTTGCGACAACGGTAATAAACTACCCAACACCGCGAGTTTTCTGTCTGACTTGGACATAGGACACAACCATCGTTTCCACCTCCCTTCCAACCATTGTTGCCGATCTGAACGGTTCCGACGGCGATTACGCTTGGATTGGGGTGTCTTATATGCTAATGCAAACCACATTTCAGCCGCTCTATGCGAAGCTCTCTGACATTCTCGGACGGAAGGTAACATTTTGTGCGACTAAGCGAAAGTGAAATCACTGAGACATATATCAAGGCGATTCTTTTTGCGAGCATGTTGCTATTCTTGCTCTCTTCTTGCCTGTGCGGCACAGCCCAGGCATGCGCATACCCTTCTGGGAAAACATTCTGCTTATGTCCTTTAGTCGATGTTGAGCTTGATAATCTTCCGTGGTATGCAAGGGGCTGGTGGGGGAGGTATCGTGGCGATGGCTTGGATTATTCCGGATGACTTGGTTCGTGTACTAGTTGAGGGACATGCTGATATTTAACCGGATCGAAAAGATTTCCAAAGGACGGGAGCAGGCTAAGTGGGCGCACTTGAAGTCATTTACCTGGGGAATGTCCGCTGTTTCCGGGCCGTTGTTAGGTGAGCCTTGTTTTGGCCCATTTCAACCTGTCTGATGTTCGACCAGGGGGGCTATTTTCAGGTTCGGTCTATCTTTAAACGTGCAGCTCTCTTTCTGAGCTCCCATTAGATACAATAAGCTGGCGCTGGGGATGTGAGGATTCACTTCGGATCATACCATTGACATATTGCTAATCGAGTGCAGTTTTCATCAATATCCCTGTTGGCGCCATTGCAGGGTTGGTGCTTTGCATCTTCTTAGTTCCTCAACACGTACACACAAGAAAACCTTTTTCGGAGACTTGGGCACGGTTCGATTGGTTGGGAGCGTGAGTTGCCCAGTCCAGTCCAGACGTCCTCTTCTGATCTGCCTCTTAGTCTTTTGCTCACATCCGGGACGGCAGCCATGATTGTCGGGTTCAGTAATGCCTCCCAGTTTGGATGTAAGTTGCGCAGCAGACAGTGTCATCATTTCTGATCATCGTATCAGTTGTATCGGTTCAGACTTTGCCGTGTATCATTGTTGGACTCTTAACTTTCAGCTTGGGCATTGTCAATGAAGCCTTCACCGCACGTGATGCCGTCCTGCCGTCGAAACTATTCCGATCGCGTGAACCCGGTAAGGGGGCGTGCATTGTCACAGAGTACCTCAACTAATTATTTCAGCCTTGCTGCTTGCTATGACATATCTTCATAATTTTGCTTTCACTGCAGGGACATTTTACCTCGCTTTATACTATCAAGTGAGTTCTATCTGTGTTAATCAGACATTTGCGTCGCCCTGATACTATTTCCAGGCTGTGGATGGAAGCTCTGCTCTCATGTCCGGTATTCTTATGCTTCCATACTCCCTTGGTTCATGCCTAGTATCTCTGCCAGCTGGCAGATGGGGCGAAGCGATAGGGCTGCGACGCGTATATTGGGCTGGATTTACTTTTGCGACAATTGGATTTGGTATGTTTTGGTTTCTCAGACTCCCTACTTCATCCCTGATTGTTCTTTTTCAGGCCTTATGATCACGCTTAATGCCGGATCCTCTACTGCACTGCAAGCAGTCTACCCTTTGATTGCTGCCATCGGTATCGGTCTCCTGTTTCACTGTTTCAAAACGGGCCTGCAACTTGCACTGCCTGGAACGGAGGATGATGCTGGTGCAACATCCGCATTTTTCCTGGTTCGTTTCATTGGCGCGACAACTGGTCTGGTATGAGCTTCTGTGTTTTTTTCACTCTTTGCCTTTCCCCTGATGACGATACACAGTCAATATCCGGCGCCCTTTTCAGTAGCACACTTGCGACGAACTTTCCTCCCGGAGTTGATCTTGTCGAAACTACGGCAGGAGTGGATTACCGAGCCCTGCACTTTCTGACACCGCTCTGGCTACGCCAAGAAGTACTGGCAGCTGTTTCTCAATCACTTTCAGTAGGACGATCTCTTAACCAACTAATGCCACTGTTGAACCTAATACCTAGATGGTGTGGATTTTATGCACGGCGTTACTTGGATTCGCTCTCCTCGTAAGAATACTTTCTTCCGCATGCAATTGACCCGTGTTCACTCAGATCAGCTTTCGTTTCTCACCCAACATCATGATTCCGATCGTGCCTTCTTCATTGGAGCCAGCATGAGGGAGATATCCTCACCTCTGAAAGGACCTATCCTTCCGATCTCGCAATCCGACATAGTTCAACCAATGGCACAAATGCGCAGTTCCCCTCGTGATTCCACAGGGTCAATACCAGATCAATCGATTGAGGCAACTACAAAATGATTGCGGTCGAGGTCAAGTCGTCAGGAAAGTGGGTCTGTGGATTCCATGGCTGCTACTGTATCATATAGGTTAGTCACGGCATAGACGGATAGTGAATAAGGACAGTATAACATTCAACGACGAGTGACCTGAGTTACACATTGTGACACCTGTGCAAACCACAATTCAACAGGCTGACCACCGTGCCCAGTAATCTCCTCGAGCTTCGCGAACTGAAAGCCCTCCTTCTCCATCATCGCCCATAATTCGCGCTCGGCAATATCACGCTCTTTGTAAGCCAATACTGCAAGCGTGTCTACATTAGCATCACGGGACAACTGTCGCAACGATCTCATTGTCTTCAGCAAGGCTGAAAAAGAGGCGGTGTTGTAGGTGACGTCGGACATGCTGGGGGAGATAGTGAATGAGTGCAGGTGAAGTATTCGAAATAATACGGACAGAATAAGCTTAAACGGCCCTGATGATTTAATCTCGTCCGGAAGATCTCGCTCCCAATCCAGTACATTCAGTCGGATGTTAGTGCGCTCTAGTAATGGCCGGTTGTGCTGAATGTTATGTTCGAGCAATGATATGGCCGAAGCTAAGAGTACTGTCAGGAAACCTTCGGAGAATGGTCGATTTTCAATCATTCATACCAAGATCGGTGATTGTCACTGATATGTTTGGTCGCGATGACAATAGGGCCGATAATACGAGGGACACTAGCCCAGTCCCGGCACCTAGCAATCAGCCATTAGAATAATTGCGCTTCAATGCGAAGGATTCTACCGAGTTCGATGATTCGACAACCGGATTTCTTGCTAACAGCGGCGTTCAGCAAACGACCACCTTCAGTACCAGGCTTCCCAGCGAGCGTCTTGCAGAACCAACCGGCTAAGCCCATGCCCGAATCCCAGACTTTCTGTTGAAAGGCAGTCATAATCATCCTGGATAATTCAAAGGCTTAGAGATTACCTTGTCGAGGTCGTACGAAGTCCGTTCTCGGATCGTAAGTTCTTTCAAATTTGACGACGTGGCCGCGGCGAGATTTGTCTCAGCAGGCAGCAGGAGTAGGCGTTCTATCTCATCCTGTTTGGTAACATTGACCGGTTCGTCTCTTGGGGAAGTAATCGTGATGGGAAGGCTGGAAGTACCGTATGGTTTGGGGTATATTCTCCCGAGGGGAATGCCTGCTGAAGCGTTGGGCGCACAGAAGAGAGACAGACTCCATTCCTGTCCTGCGCGTGCAGAGGACGGCAATCCTATGGAGATGGGTTTATAGGCTGACGATGATCCTTTCCATGTTGTGAGTTTTTTGGGGCTTGCTCTCTGCGAAGTAGGGCTATTGAGGACCCAAGAGTACTGAATATCTACCGCGTCCTCGAAGAATCTGCGAAATCGAGTTGCCAGAAGAAAATCTCCCAAACCGTGGTTGCTCACTCAGTGCGCAGATCATTAGTTATTTGTGGCGTAATTGTAACTTCGGAGGCATAGGGCGAGGAGATTGGTGGAGGACGAAGGAAGGAAAGATAATAATACATCGGAAGAGTGGTAATGGACAAGACCCGTCAGGGCACGCCATGAGTTTCAACCTCGGGCTTAGTAGTTCGGGCCGAAAAAGAACCGATCTCCAGCATCTCTGCACAGGCACTGATCATGAGCTACCTAGACATCCAGCTTGTGCAACACATCTACAATGCTTTTGGTGAAGGCGTCTGGGTGCGAGATCATCGCGAAATGACCTGCCCCCGGTATGATCGCTGTAGCTGTGTGAGGTTGTTGTGCCAAACGCTGCTGGATCCAATCTCCAGCATCCTTGCAATAGTCGCTTGCCTCCTCGCCTAATTATTGCTCTAAGTCTAGAGGTCCAACTGGCAGGGAATTTCTTACCGAGCATCAGTCCAACCCCAAGGTTAGGAGGGACAGGGTCAAATGCTTGATAAGCTATTTGTTCGATGGTTGGGCGATCGGGGGCAAGGTACCAAGAGAACTCGTGGGCGGTGTGCTCACCGTTGTATGCGTTGTTGAGTGCAGGCAACAGATCAGGATTTATCTTCTTGATAACCCAGTTATAGAAGGCAGTTTGAATTTCTGAAGGGCCAACAGCAAACTCTTTCGTATCTTCGGTGGGAGGACGGCCGGACGCCGTGCCAGGAGGCTCGTAAAGCAGGACAGCCCGAAGGTAGGATTCAAGCATAGGCTCCAGAGAAACTACTTCAGGCGGCATGGGGAACAGGGGGTTCTTAACATGTCGCATGGATGCCATGAGGGCGATAGGAGGAATGCAGCCTTTCGACCTGTTCAACTGTCAGTTCCATGTTTCAGCCGAAGTCACTCACGCCTACCATCCAAGAAGAACAACACCTCCACTTTTGCGCTTCTTGTCAGTTGGCTGAACACCTAGTTCATCCACCGCGTATTTCATGAACTTCAGCATGTCAAGTGTGTATCGAACCGTTGTCTGAACCAATCCGGCCGAGGGAGGGTCCTCCTTGTGAATGGATGGAGAGCCTTCGTATCCTCTCCTGTTATAGCTCAAGAGCCGAATATTGTTTTCTCTCAAGGAGGGTAGCCATCGGTCCCAGATAGCTATCAAACATCGGACACGTTTCGGCAGTTAAATCGCTTGGTAACATACCAGAATGAAAAGTAACGCCATGAACGCTAATTATCGTCGTCGATGGCGTCGATTCTGTTCCCGCTGGCTGGCTGTCAAAATACTTGAACTCAGCTGGTTCATCGCCAGGCACGATGGTAGGCAGCTTCACAGTCCCGCTGATGAACGACATCTGCCGAGTGTACAAAAGCTGCCTTGCAACGACCGAGCGGCCTATCGCTTTATACCTTGTCGATAGGAAGAGAAGTGTCATCTTGGTGGTAGAGCTGGTTCGGCATAACTATTAAGCGCGCAACCAGTGGAATTTATACCGCGCCGTCCCTGATGGTGAGACATCTCGGTCATCCGGCCTGCCGTTTTGCCTTGCCTCTGCCAGCCGCAGTTCCGATCGGCAAAACGTTTCTACGGTTCGTAACCAGTCTTCTGCCTTGATGTATATATGAAGAACTTTCGGGCTGCGCTCCGGCGGCGCACGGCCGGCAGGACAGAAGCCCTTGGGGGCTATTCATTGTCAAACCAGTGAGAGTGCAAATGGTCAGCAATTAGGTTCCCTCAGAAGATAACTTCAGAACCCTGGAATGCATTAAGAGATAGACCATGAACAAAACATAAAGAATCATGTTACACGGCGTCACTTTCATATCACCAACCCGACGGCCGCACAAATGCGCCCGATGGGACGGGCTGGTACCCATCATACGTGTTCCGCACCGCACCCCTACCACCACCGATGGGTACCGTATACATCTGCTGAGGCGGATTGGCTTGATGAGGAGGAAAGCCCACGTGAGCCTGAGGAAGAGCATGGGGTACCGGGGGGGAGAAGCCCGGCATCTGCTCCATATTACCCATGCCTGCGAATGGGGGCGAAACGTGTGTCCCCATTGGGTTTGCAAGGTTCAGACGAGGATTGTGTAGAAGGAGTGGTCGATCACCACCCGGCGCTTTCGACCCGGGGGCCATGGCCTGATAAGGTCGTCCGACAGCACCGACAGTACCAGCGGCGCCGTATGGCATCATGCCTGGGGTGTATTGGGTCGAGGTGGTCACATAACTGGTCGCGGGAGAGCCTTGCGGTGGTACCCATATGCGCTGTGGCATATTTGGCGAGATCGTCTGAGGAGACACCATTGCGTAGGCGTTGGCGGCCGGGTACATGATAGGGGGGCTAGGTGAATGTCCCGGCACAATCGGAGCGTAGGAGGGGAACGGCCTTACTCCGCCGAGCGGTGCAGCTGCAGGGCGGGCAGAAGCAACCGTGCCCAACCCAGAATATGGAGAGGAACTGTGCAATCCGGAGCCGCTGTAGTTGACGGGCGGAGGAGGTACGAATCTAGAGGTGCTTGAAGCCGGCTGGATGGGCACTTGCTGGAAGGACTTGTGTGGGTCGAAGAACGACGGCCGTGCTGGAGGTTCCGCAACAGCAGGTGTTGGCAACTCATCTGCGTTCTTCACGCTGGGAACATCAACATCTTCAGATCGCAACTCCTGTACGGACACAGGTAAGGACGTAGGGAACTCGTCAGCTATACCCTTGAGAGAATTCTCCGTGATCTTTGAGGTGCCAGGATGGGACCATACCGCCTTCAAGTGTTCGGGGTCAGGCAGAAGTGTTTTCCCCCAAGGATTCGGTGTAGAACCAGATGCAGGTGTGGCAGATGCTTTTGTTGAGGTAGCCGTGGTGACAGAGGTCATGCTATCATTCTCCGGAGAGAGGATATTGGTGGGCCCGGTGGGTTGACCGACCGAGGATAGAAGGGTTGTCATCTAATAGCAACATTAGTAACATGATCAGCGGACGTACGTAGGAATACTGACGTTATCCTCAGAGGGCTTAGTGCTCAGCCCAATGTCCGCGACGTGTGGTGCACTATCCCCATTCAGCTCGCTCACGTGGATCGGCTTGTCTGTCGAACCCGTAACATCGGCATTCACTCGACGAGGTGAAATGATTGAAGCCTGTGCTAATGCACTGTCGAGAGGACTTTGTCCATCCAATTCGCTGCTCACAGTGAAGCGAACAGCGGAGGCATCCCCGCCTGTCATATCCACGCGACTGGGAGACTTGTATAACACAAGATTAACGCCTTCGGGCATCTTGCGTGGAACTCTTTGGGGGAGTGAACCGAGAAGCTTGTCCAGAGTGTAGGTATCCGGAATGAGTTGTTCCGGAGACGACGAAAGTCCGTATGAGACGTCTGGGGGAGGGGAACGGCTGGTGAGCTTGAGATCACCAGCGAGCAAAGCATCACTGCCTGGCAACGTAGATACCCGAGAAAGGGTTTCCACAAAATGGTCTCGTGCTTCTGAGGGCACATCACGAGGAGCAACAGACGACATCCTTGACTTTGGAAGAAGGACACGCGGTACAGCAGAAGCCACAACTGGAGGCTCTTGACGTATACTGGAAGGAAGGCGAACGACCGGCCGAAGAGCTTCTTTCTCGAATGGGACAATGCGTTGTGTGGGCAACAGCACACGTGCGTTTACTACTCCGCGAGTGTATGTCTTGCGGTGAAAGAGGTCATCTCGGGATAACGTCCTCACAGACATGTCCTTCACAGGGGGTACCCAGCATAGAATATCCATTGATGCCGGTGATGGAGGTTGCAAGAAGGCATCCATGCGCGAAGGGGGGACATCCTCGTGCTTGTAAGACTTTCTTGGTACTCTTACCGGGTATGCTCGCCAGGCTAAGGGAGGGGATATTGGCCGATCTACGTGACTCGTAGTTTCTAGCGATGCCAACGTTGCGTGGATCCTCGTATCCAATGGGAGCGCCGGAACGGGGGACTCATTGACGACCTTGGTGGGTGTCCCATGCGTTCGGGCTTCCTGCATGGCACCCAGTGCACCCATGATTCTGGACATGGTGTCATCCAAGGCGGACATAGCAGGCTCACGATATGCATGCTTGGTCGGGGATGTTGGCTGTACCGGATGCTTCAATGGTGCAGCCCCTGGTACTGACACCCGCGGGACAGGCGATTGTTCCATGGACGCAGTCTCATCTTGCAGGACGAATACTTCAGAAGGAAGGGTAGAGAAGCTTTCTGGTTCCGAGGTTATAGCATGCGGGACGCCGTTGACAGTAGGAGCAGCGCTTTTCGGTGCAACGGTTGTAGTCGCTCGCCTCCATGGGCCTGCATCACTCTTGTGATTGAGCGAGAGTGCTCGGTCACGGGTAGGGGGTGACTGCTCATTGAACCGAGATGTCTCAGGTTTCCCATGGACCAGCTGGCCCATCTCGCTGAAGTCCACCTCTTCGATGCCGTCCAAGGAGCCAATCGCCAAAACCTCCGGAATGTTCGACACGATAGGGGATAATGGCTTGTGAGGAAGAGGGATAGTGTGAACCAGAGGTGAAGGGGATTTAAGGGACGGTGCTGCGTTAGGATGTGTCCCGATTGGTGCGATAGGTTTGCTGGACCTCCATGAGTCTACCCGCATCGATGGTAGATCTGCTGTTGCCTCAACTGGTGCGGAAACCAAATCCGGTCGAGGGAGTACGTTCCTTGAGGCAGACGGCGATACTGGGGACTTAGGTCGTTCAATGTGCCAAAGTCCTCTTCGTTCTGACTCTTTCTGTTTCTCTCCTGCCGCTCTTCGCTCTTGCTCCGCACGTTCCGCTTCATTTCGCCGCTCCGCTTCCTTCTCTTTCTCCAATTCTGCTGCCTTGATTCTCTCCTCTAGCTCTTGTGCCTTCCGCCGTGCACGATCGCGTTCTCGTTCTCTTTCCTCTTCCTCTTCTTGGCGCCGACGCTTTGCCCGTTCGGCGGCAGAATGCATAGCCATCTTATGCAATTCGCCAACATCCACTCCGCTCGCCGGCAACCCAGGTGAAATAGCCGCGTCTGGGCTGAGCGACTTGAGTGAAGCCGAGTCAGGTGCAGTGGATATTGATGTTGCAAGGTGAGGGGGCGGTAATGTCGGGACAGGGAGGGGGGCATTCTGGGGAGAAGTTACGAAATGCGGAGGGCGGCCGGATCCGACGGCAGATAAAGGGGATTCGTGCGCCACGGGAGATTGTAATAGATGCGGTGGCAACTGTCGTGTCATATGGCCAGGCGAACCAATTGTACGTCCGGGGTGAGGGGGGGGCGGTTCGCGTGAAGGGTACGTCGCACTGCGTGGCTCCTTCTGCAGCAAGTGCAGGGTGTGCGGAGGAGCATCTCGCCCTGGGAAACCATGGTGATGTTCATCGAAACTTTCTCTTCGCCGTCCTGCTTGGTGTGGAGGAAGAGGCCGACCCCAAGGTTCCAGTCGATTGGAGCGCTCGTTGAATAATGTTCTTTGGCCTTCACCTGTTGGAGAGATCTCTGGCCCAGGTCGGGACACATCATGTGGAGGAGGTAGTGGTGCTGTACGAGGCCAGCTTCGATCGAAGTCGTCTGAGAAACGATTTTCTCGTGTTAAGGGGAAAGCACTAGCCGGTGGGCGACCCGTATCAGCATTCTCTGCTGTTTCCACCTTATACTGCCGCCCGTCACCAAACTCCACCTCACCAGCCAGGAAATCATCCTCCTCATCCTCCATCTGAGGAATAATTAGTATATGCCGTAAGAGAGCACTAGCATGCTTACCTCATCCCAGTGATGCGCATTAGGATCCAGGTGAACGCCGCGGAACGCGTCGGCGGACGTATCTGCGTGCGCTGGCGGAACTGCCTCTGCCTTGTGCGATGGCCCCTGTCTTGGACGCTTCCCTATGTCGTCGTCAATACATATACACCATACGATAACAGCACCGGACGCACCTCGAGCTGCCTCTGCTGCTGTTGGAAAATCGGCATCAACTGTAAACCCCGGCATTACTCCAATCGCAGGAACGGGCGCTGGGTGACCCCACACATTTGTCGGAACTGCCGGTGTTTTCTGTATCTGCGGTACCGGGCGCGGAGTTCGTGCCGCTGAGGGTGCCGATGGGACGGGGAGGGCACCTGGACTCGGTGGCGCTGCCGATCTTGATGCGGCAGCAGATGTTGCCAGCTTCGCTGATGCGGATTGTAGAACTGCAGTTTGGATGGTGGCATGCGGAACTGCAGGTGTAGTTGTGGCAGGTGTATGCGCTTGCGCTGATAATGGTGTTGCAGCAGGTTGAGGTGATGGTGCTCCAGAGGGTGTGCCACTTTTGTTCCATCCCGCTGCAGGTGTAGGCAGGGCAGGCGCCACCATCGTGAGTTTCGTAGTAACCAACCTTGATTGAGATTGGTTCGGTGTGACGGATGCGGGTCGGGCAACTGATGAGATATCAATTATGAATACTTCATCATATAAGAGCCAGAGGCGCACTTGTGGGAATGACCCCTTTCCCCGGGGCGGGAAGTGGAGACGGCGCGGCCGTCTTCTGGAGGAACTTCTTATTGATGTTGGCAGAGCTGACGAATTTCTTCGGCGGTCCCAGATGTGCTGAACCATGAGGGAAGAGGGACATGGACGTTGAAGCGTGTTCACTACCGATACTGGGTGTTTCGACCGGTGTTGATAACGTAGACCCATCATGGCCAGCCTCCTCGTTCGTATCTCCATGCCGCTCGCTGTGCTCGGTCGCGTCCCCGTCTCGTCCATTTGGTGTAGAGTGCGTATCGATCGACAGGTGTTTCCACACTTCCTCCTTTCCGCTACGCTGCTCATGCACAAGCGCGTCTTCCGGTAGCAGCTCGCGTTCATGTTCAGGACGTCTCTCTGACTCCACACTCTCTATTCCCGTCGGGGTCTGCTCGCTGGAAGTGGCATCATTCAATGCAGTAGCTTCCTGTTGGTGCTCGTGTTCTGGGTCATGACCCATGCTCTGGTCAGGGCTTGCTCGCTGGGTGACGCGCCGTGAAAGGTCGGGATCAGCCAGGGATGTGCACACGACTAGGTCGACAAGCCTCACCGGCAGGTATAAGGAAAGTACAAGAGCGAAACGGCGTCCCAGATATTCAGAGCGGTATATAGATATCTCAGTATCCTGTCTAATTGACTAGGAGTGAGTAAAAGTAAAGCAGTAAAGGTCGAGTTTGATAGTTGCCCAATTCCCCGACAAATTGAGCCTATAACAGCCCTCGGTGACTGAACTGCGGTCCAATGTGAATCACTGAGCGGACCTAAACTTTTAGCTCCGCGCTGCCTGACCCTTCTCATCTCTCCCAGCCACCAATTGAGAGCGCACAGCTGATTGGAGCAGAATGTAAAAAGGTATAATGAATTCCCTTTCGGTTTTAACACTGCATCATATACTACAGTAGCGCTACTTCTTCTGCTCTTCAGTCTTGGGCGGCGGAGGAGGCTTGATTTTGAATTGCTCAGGCTTAACATCCTTTCCATCGCCAACCATCTCCCACGGGCTGAGCCCATCCCCAAAGTTCCTGAGTAAATACCATAAGAATCGTAGTTACCACTCTTTTATCTCGCTTGTTACCCACCTGAAGGCTTGAGTCATCTGCAAGGGCTCATAGACAACACGCTTCTTCTCGTCGTCGTACCTGACCTCCACATATCCCTGAACAACGCGTCAGTATCGTCTTCCACACGAGGCGAGTACATGCCACTCACAGTCAAAGGGAAGTCCTTGCGGAAAGGATGACCTTCGAAGCCGTAGTCTGTTAAGATCCTCCGCCTGAGATAGAGTGAGCGCTTGTGGTTCCCCGACGACTGGAGCAGCATACAGATCCGGGTGATCTTGGAAGAAGATGCCGTACATGTCCCAGGCCTCTCGCTCGTACCTATTTCGGAATAAGTACCAATCTACCCTATCATGGAAGAGGAAACATACCAGTCCGCACCCCTGAAAACGCCCGTAGCAGTAGGCACAGGGTTGACCTCGTCCGCATACGTCTTCACCCGTATCCTCGTCCCATACTTAACACTCAACAAGTTATACACCACCTCGAACCTATTCGCCTTCGTAGGGTAATCGACACCAGCGATGTCCATGACAGACTTGTACTGGCACTGACTGTGGTCGCGCAGGAAAGTGAGGACGGGGATGACACCGGAAGGCGCGGTATACAGGACGAGCTCGTCCTTGTACACGCTGAATTGTTGGACGAATCTGGGAAGGCATTGGAGTAAGTATGCACCATATTTGTGCATATCCCCCGTGATGGGCGCATAGCGTGCTAGATAGTCATCGGCCCCGGCAGGCTCCTTGAACGGCGATTCGCTCGCTGGTTGACAGTCAGTACTCTTCCAGGCACACCTGATAACACAAAACTCACCTAATCTCCTAGCTGTGGTGGTGTACGCCGCCGCGCTCCTCAGCGCAGGTCTGGGTGCAAGCCGTGCCGCTTTAGCGCCTCGTAACAAGACTGCAGCGGCCCTCGATGCCATGGTGGTTCGTTGACACCGTCACATTTGCTTTGGGCACGTTCTAATTGGGCAATGCTTCTACACAGCCACTGATAGTAAGTATCACGCGGCATCTCCCGACGATAAGTGCAATCTATGCATGCATGCGACAAGGATTGCAAAGTTGTCATTGCATTTCTTTCCATGGTATAAATATGTTCTTTGAGGACAAAAAGGTTTGTGTAACGTAAGGAGGATTCATGGGACAAGAGGAACATTTTATCCGGCATGAGCCAGCTCACAAGCCTTCTCCGCGGCCTCGTCCAGATCGTCGTATGGGTAGATCTTCAAACCTGATTCACGGATTAGCCTAAAGCGCCTTGTCAGCGCGTATTCTAAAAGCCTGGGAAAGAGATACTCACGCTTTCGCCTCGGGCTCCTTTGTACCCTGCAGACGGACAACCAGGGGTACACTGAGGTTCAGTTCCTGCGTAGCCTTAATCACACCCTCAGCAATGTAGTCGCACCGCATGATACCACCGAAGATGTTGACAAAGATCGACTTGACGTTAGGGTCGCCGAGGAGGATCTCGAAAGCAGCTTTGACGGTCTCAGGGGTAGCCCCACCACCAACATCAAGGAAGTTGGCTGGGTCACCGCCGTGCAACTTGAGCACGTCCATGGTAGCCATAGCTAGACCAGCGCCGTTAACGAGGCAGCCGACGTTGCCATCCAGCTTGATGAAATTGAGGTTGTACTTTTGCGCCTCGACTTCAGCTGGGTCTTCCTGGGTAACGTCACGCAGGGCGAAGATGTCCTTCTGACGGAACTCGGCGTTATCGTCAAAGCCGAACTTGGCATCCATGCTGATACGGCCGTTAGGACGGACCGATATGTGCACATTTCAGCGATGTATGCTCACCAAAGCACAGCGCCATCCTTGGTCTCACCAAGAGGGTTGATCTCGATCTGGGTAGCATCCTTGTCCTTGAAGATCTTGTACAAGTTCTGGAAGATCTCCGCGGCCTGCTTCTGTGTCGACTCAGTCTTAAACCCAAGTTTCTTAGCGACGCCCAGGGCGACTTCGTCAGATAGACCATTCTTGAAGTCGATAGGGGTAGTGATGATAGCTTCCGGGTTCTCCTTAGCTACATCCTCGATGTTCATACCGCCCGAAGCGGAGGCGACGAGTACAGGCGACTCCGAGGCGCGGTCGTTCAGAATGGCAACGTAGTACTCGTGATCAGCTGTGCGGCGCTCGGCGAGCATGACCTGCAAATCCCCCATGAGCGACATTCAGCACAAGAGAACTAATAACATACAGCGTTGCATATCCTGCCCTTCTCACCAGTCTGCTTCGTGATCAGCTTATGACCGATCATCTTCTCCGCGATGTCCTCAGCCTCCTTTGCCGAGTCGACCATGTGCACACCGCCCTGGAAGCCATTTTCAAAGTGGCCCTTTCCACGCCCACCGGCGAGCACTTGAGCCTTGATGACGAGCTCGTTAGTTCCTGCTAGTTCGTGGTTAGCGGACTGCTCCTATCAGCGTAGAGCGCATACCGAAGTTCTTCGCCACGTCGAAAGCCTCCTGAGCAGACTTTGCAGGGATGCTCTTTGGGGTGGGCACACCGTACTAATAGGGCTTGAGATAGCATACATCAAGTCGAATATAAAATACGTACAGAGTTCAGCAGCTTGACAGACTGATACTCATGAATGCTAAGAAAGCGTTTCTGACCTGCGAACTGCCTCACTGTCAGTGGCAGAACCACGCACACAAAATCTGCACCTACACGCTTGATAGCGGGCGCGGCCCTCGCAGTGCGGAACATGGTGCTGCTGGATGATGCTGGGGATAAAGGTCGACGACAGCAAGTCCGTGAGATGTACTGGTTGGGTTGTGGATGAATGTTGTGGGGTGGGCTCGGAGAGGGACTGTAACGGAAACGGATGCGGTCACGTTCGAATGACGCGCGGAAGGGTACGGGTGCTCAGCCCCTTGGAAGAAGTTCAACAACGACGAAATATTTCACTCATCTTGCTGGCAATAATTGCATGCTGCTTCAGATGCGGGTGTGAGAAACACAAGGACAGTCGCTTATTCATAGGAAGTGCTGTCACGAGTTATCGAGTCGAGGAGCCCTATAAACTCGGAGGCGATCCAGGCACCACGAGATGCCACAAATTACAGCACATTAAAGGAGGAAGATTACCCAGATTTATTCCAAATAACGGCATGCTGAACAGACAGCTGCGCTGCCTTAAAAGACGTGCAAAAGTCCGTTGTAGGTTACTGTAGAAAAGGGCTGAGGAAAGAATTCGTCTCCGCCGAAATCTCCGGCCCGTGCTCACCCTGAATCTCTTGATCGATGGATAACGATCGTATATTCCACTATCGAAGAAAATGACTGTTACTCAGCATTGTATCATATGGTGGTTGCTTCTGCACTCAAGGATGATCTTCTCTTGATTTGCATATTTTGGGAGAAACAGTTCTTAGTCTAGCTTGCACTAGAATCAGATGGGAAACACACGAATGAATGGGGACTCACGGCGAACGTGCTCATAAAGTGAACCTAACGGGATCAGGGGCAAGGGATCGGCCGCCCTTAACAACAACGCGCGACTCATCCCAATTAATGCTCGAGATGAGGCATAACGTACTGACGAGGTGATCATTCTATCAGGCTGGTTGAAAACGCAGCTGGTATGTGTGCGAGGTTGATGCGTTTCATGGTGGATGCCAAGCCTTGTTAAGCGGAGAATTCTGATATGTGAGAGAGTCGGAGATGTTGGAATAGCCTTTTTCGCCCGAAAGGGCCCACCTTGACGACACACCCTCGCCGTGGCGGAGTTTTCCCCGAAGCGATCAGAGAGTTGAATTAGGGGGCAACCATGTGGGTTCCTGACGTTCTAAATGTTCCCGACGGGTTGATAGCCACATCAAAATGGAGAAGGAAAGAGAGAGGGTAAAATGACACCTGGGCAGAGGAGGAGTGTCGCTTCCTAGGAAAAGAAGCCGAACACGCGCTTGCTTCGGATGCATTCCAGTAAGAAAATCCCAAAAGGCGCATACACAGAGACACCAGACACCTCTATACCTATCCCACCTTAGACAAACGCCGACCCAAACACACTCATTTGACAGGTCAAGGACGAGACCCATCCCATTCCCTTCATTCTCCTCCTCCTCCTCCTCGACCTCGCTGTCCTTCTCTCCTCCGTCGGCGTCACTTACTCGTTACACATCCTCTTTCCCTTTCTCCCCTCTTCTACCCCCCCTCTCCTCCCATCACAAAGCTGGAGCTTCACTACGATTGACCTGGTAGACGATCACTTGCAGTCATGCACTCCATCCGACCGTCTCCCAACCCCTCAAGTGATACGCTCTCAGCAGCACCTCCTCTGACCTTTGGCACCTCAGCCGCGTCTTCGCGTTCATCCTCGCGTTCAGTGCACACCCTTCGCGCAGTTCATCGACCGCGAGACGCAGATCTAGACAGCGATTCTTCGAGTGCAGGATCGGATATATCTGCGCGACTTGCCCCACCGAATGTTAAAATCCCGCTGGGTGATGCAGTCGAGGGCATTCGTCGTGAGGTGCGGGAGATGCGAAGTGTGTTGAATGGGACGGCAAGCGGGCGGACAACCCCAAAACGACGGCGAAAAAACATGAGGAGTGGTACGGATGGGGAGAGGGAGAGGCCCAGGGGCGCCTATAGCGCGCTCGGGGTGAGGAGTGCAGATGAGAAGAGCTTGCTCCAGCGAGAACTGGAAGAGGCCAACGTAAGTACTTTCAACACGATGTTTTCTGATCCGTCAACCAAGTGACTATTCACAGGACTTTATGACACACGCGTCTATCGACTCTCCCATCATTGGGTCGTCCTCATCCTTCATGTCTGACTCCTCCGCACCGGCATACCCTTACCATTGGGCAGGCAACCCGTACCCCTCTACATATACCGACATCCCGCCTTCTCCATCCCCATCTCTCCACTTCAGCACCTCTTCGTCCTTCCAGTCATCCCAACATACCCCGCATACATCTCTCACCTCCTCCGTCTACCCACTCTCCACAAGCAGCACGAACAACACGCAAACAAACACCTACACCTACACCTTCAGTGGCATGTCCTCTCCCACCTCGCCGCTGTCGAATGGAACGTACCGCACGAACAGTCTCGCCTTTTCCGGGCTGTCTCCCTCTCGCAGTATGCAGTATTTGCCGTTGTCACCCTCCATGTCAGGAAGTGCGTCTGTGCATTCTCAATCACTCGATTCGGCCGCTGGTGAAGATCCAGACGATGTGGCCTATCGCCTCAAACTGCTAGTGCAGAACCGATACTACCTGCCATCCCCGCACGATAAGCCTGCCGTGAAAGAGCTGGGTGGACTCAACGTATCTGCCTCAGGTGGTATTACCAATACGTCTGTGGGGTCTAAGCCAAAATCTCCTGGCGGAGCATTGCGGCAACTCTTTGCTCCGAGAGCGCGGTCGAACACCTCCCTCAGTTCAGGTTCGGGTAAGTCTCCCGGGGGCCCTCCTGCTCAAGTGCCCCTGCCACAACAAACCAACGGTATTCGTGCCTCTCGTTCGCAAGTGTTCACACGTGCTGCAGCCGGTCCTGCTCCTCCACCATCTTTGGCTGTCCCTGGGACCTTCCCTCGCCGAGCATCTTCGCCAGCTATCACAGCGCCTCCCACGTCGAAGACCCCAGAACCAAAAGGTCGTGTCATGGTTATCAAAGAGAAAGTCCCGGATCTGCATCGCGCAGCTCGGGAAGCCCGTCTACGGGAGGAAGAACGCGGTCGAGCGCATCCAAAAGGCATGACGAGACGCGAGAGAGAGCTCCTAGAACAGACGCACTCGTGGGAAGTCGACCCGACAGAGGAGGTCGACACTGCCCCTCCGGCGCTGAAAGACCCCGTCACTGCGAGAGTGGTAAAAGTGCCACATGCCGCACCACCACCCACGAGGCTACCACCGTTGCCACCCCAGTCTCAACCTCAGCCTCGGCCCCAGCCCCAAGCAGAGGTTCAGCCAGTTGGGTTGGGCATCTCTACTGCACCACCTGCCCCTCCCAAGCCGGAGAGTCAGGCCAAAACATCCATCATCGCGGAGTCAGAATGGGAGACGGAGGAATCGGAGTACGAGCCTGCGCCCGCACCTCGTCAGCCCGTCGAGATCGATCCCGAAGAAGCAGCATGGCGCCGGGCGCTTCTGCACCAGGCTGTTGGTCTGAGCATGGTCGAAGCATGGCCGAATCGCGTCATCGCGGATGAGACGGAGGACAGCTCGGCCTGGGAGACAGAGGCGCCCATCCCTGTCCCTGTCCCAAAGCCGGTTTCGCAGAATCAGAATCCGGCTAAACGGCAATTGGGCCAAGGGGCGTATGGAGGGTCGAACGTCGACTTGCGCACTACTCGACAACGCACGCCCAGTCAAGCATCGGTTTCTGCTGCGTCTTCTGCGAGAAAGTCGGTGCGCAGGGCTACCAGTCAGCCTTCGTTGGTCGTTGGTTCTCCACCTAAGATGCCATTACCCCCACTTCCGATTCCTCCTGTACCGACGCAGATCAAGCCTGTGGTGCCTCTGTCCGCCCCAGCAGTGCTGCTTCCCTCCGTGGAAATAACCTCCAAACCCGCCTTACCGACTGATGGGATGGCGAACATCATCCAGAACGGGTCGCATGTCGAGTCCAACTTCCCCACGCGGCAGAGCTTTGACAGCCTCTCGATGTATTCTGGAACAGATGGAGAGAGTAGGAAGAGGGATACCATCATCGCCCTTCCAAGAAGTCCCATGCCGATGCTATTTCCTACCGGTCCAATGTCTCCGGGCCATGGGAGGACGATGAGTGGGAGCACCGTGTCCTCTTTTCGTTCTCCATTGAACGAGAATATGGAGGGCAGGATAGGACCTACACCTCCTTTACGCTCCACGGTCGACACCCTGGCTGGATCCCAGCCAGCCTCGCCACGTGCGCGCTTACCGTCTTCCCCGGGTACCCTGCAGAGCGCTGGAAGCTTTAGGAAGAAGCCTGCACCTCTCGTACTCGTCGCACCTGACACCACTATCTATCCATTGCCTCGTGGTCCTTTGCATCCTGCCCTGCAAAAGGATGCCCGTCCTTTGCAAGAAGATGGCCTGTTAGATGTCCCTACTCAGAAGATGTCTATCACGCCGAGCTCGATTGGCCCGTCGCTAGGTCACGGATATCCATCCACTGCGCCGCACGATATCCACCACTTCCCCGTCAATCGTGCTGCAAGCCCGGCCATGTCCAACTTTAGCATGCCTCCCGGTATCCCCCGTGCCTCGAGCACATTCTCGCATGCTGATACAATATCCCTTGCGCCGTCTAGCAAGTACCACTCGTCTGGTGCGACCACGTCTCCACTAGATCAGTATGGGTTTGATCGTCGGCGACCGATCACCAATACCCCCGTCGAGCCGCGGTCTGCCTCTCCTTCGGCCAGATCATTCTTCTCGAGATTTAGAAAGGATTCGCACAAAAAGGCCCGTATACCCGGCACTACGCTCGAGATGCTCAAGCAGATGCCGGCATCACAGTCCTCCGTCAACATCGCTCTGACTCGCACTGGCGGCATCAGCAGCGAGAATGTTGCTCTTGTCTCGAACCAAAGCGGGCACAGTGGGAGCTCTGATGCGGGCGTGTCACCTATTGGCATGACGCAGAATACTCCTACAGCAGCTTGGACACGATCCCAGCAGTCCGAGGATCCTCACGTAAGGCGACTGGATGGGCTGCTTGCACAGCATGTCGAGTCCGAGCGGGAGAGGATGCGACAGATTGCCAGTGGGATGGGTGCGCGCGCTCAGGCTGCCCCTCCTACCCGATCATAATCGTCCCGTACGACCGGGTGCATACCCCCCACGGCTCTATTCCAAATATTCAACCACGTCGATACCCAACGTGTTCGACTGTTCCCTATTGTTCGTCTTCGCTTATTTTGTATCTCTCTGGAATTGGGTGTATAGTATACATATCATACGAAACGTCTTCCGTATTTGATGTTTGTTGACAAGCCTCCCTTTGAGCGCTGCGTATTGGGCCGGGAGGGCCGTTCTTGTCTTTATTCTGTTTTGTTCTGTTCTGTTCTGTTGGGGCTTGTATGAGCGCCGTCTTCGGCCTCTGGGAGGCTAACAACGGACTTGCGCAGTGCGGCCCGCAAGCCTGTCCATTGTGTAGCACGTACAATAAGAAAGAGTTATCGAGGACCGTGGTGTCGTCCCATTTTTTCACACATATTGCATCCGCTTGAGCACAGCGACTGGAAAAAGGAAACGACAACGACAAGGAATCCGAACTTACCATACCTGCTCCAGACGCTTAATGATAACGTATTCTTCTCTCGAAAGTGTTTTCTACCGTATAGTCCATTAACTGTATGACTAGAACAATTATGACTACAGATTGCATGTAGCAAGTGTGCGGTCTGTCAATGTCAGTGACTCGACCAAGGTCCCAGGACTGCGCGGAGCGCCCTTCTATAGTATGCAGGTCGCGCTAGACGAGGCACAGTAGGTCGTTTTGTTGCCATATTTTCGCGGGACATCGCCAAAGGTCGAGCGAAGTCATTCTTCATTCACGCACAAGATTGCCTCCGATTTCACACGGCTGAACACCTCTGCATTTCCGTAAGACCAACTTATAACAGGCCCGCCTTGTTACAGGAAGATCTAACGGGGATACCCTAAGGCTTATCCTTCAACCAAATATTTGGCAGGAACGTCCTCGACTTCCACGGCGCCAGGTTTTTCGGGGTTCTTCCATTCAACCCTTTTATACGCCTTCGAGAAAAATGAGTCCAAGTTAGAAGCATACAGGGGAACTTCACTGACCGGCTTCTTCTCTGGACCTAGAACAGTTCCATGCTTCTTCCCGTCTTTGGTTTTGACCGGGGTACCTCTCCGGAATTCATACTATCCGGGTCTTTCAGTGATCCTTTTCCGGTCAGAAAAGCACAGTCACGCACTTTAATATGGTCATGTCTAGCGGCAAGCACGGGCTCAAATTCTTCCTCATTATAGGACCGTGCATATAGCTCTGTGGCCAGGTCGGCAGTCGGGATGTGCTGCAGAGACAATGCGGGGGAATCATTGACATAGTGAGTAGGTGCAGGACAAGCTGTGACAAGCAACATCGCAGAAGAGACCGACAATTGAATAGCAAGGTTAGGGAAGATCATCTTGTTGTTGAGACAGTGTTAGAATTGTGTTGTTGAGATGGTGTTAGAATTGTGTTCTTGATATGGTGTTAGAAGGTTGAATAGGTAGTGGGGTGTCTGCTAATAAACAAAGAGCGTGGTTTGAGGAATGTGTGAAGACCAGCTTAAGGCAAAGTGGTTCTCAACTGCCATCCTTTTATACCCAACCAGGTCAATAACTTCATGGAACAGCTTTCATGTGCTGGTGAGTAAGTGGTCTGTATATGTACTCAATGCTATTGAATGGTCTTTTGAATGTGGTGTCATGAATTGCCTTGGCAGGTTTCATCTTTCATTCAAGACAGAAGTAATTTGCCCTTGACACTGAATGGGTTTTGAATAGATGCTGTCTAGGCAATGCACAAATAAGGTCAGATTAGCTAGTGATGGCAGTGGTGTCATCCCACTCACCACATGTCAGGGATACCTGCCTGAGGGTCTTCCATGAGACCTAGCACTGCCTCGCTTGGGTTTAGGGTAGGCTCATTAGGTGTCCTGTCCTGAGAGTCAGCAAGGGGGTTTTCCATGGAGTCTCCTAGGCTATCCTAGGCCATGTTGTAGGTTAGCTCAACACTGTAGAAAGAATGTAACAAGGGAGACCAATGATGCAGTCTGCTCCAGGGCAGGGTGCTAGGGTGGCGCTTCCCCCTGTAAAACTTTTTGCTGCCACTCTTTGGGCTGTTCATTGTTCAATGTGGTTTTGTTTGTCCTTGCTTTGCTGTTGTTTTCTGGGTGTTGTGGATGGACTGCATGTCTGACCCAGCCCATGTTTCCCTTCTGGTGCCTGATATGGATGCTCCAGACAGACCTTTGCCCTGTAACAAGAGGAGAAAGCACAAGAGTGATGTGATGAAATTGCGCAGCTATATGGGTTGGCTTGAGAGGTGCTGGACCAGGGGCTTGGGGGATAGTGGTTTGTCTTGCTATACTTTGGGTTGCATCTCCTGTATACTCACATGACGGATAGATGTTCAACTTATTCCCTCCTACCTGGACCTGTTCATCAGACATCCTTCCAGCAATGCAGCTGTCTTGGATTCTCTCACGGCTGCCTTCTTGCACAACCCCCTTCCTACACCCATTCCCTGTGCTCCTGAGACTGGTGATTGGGTGTACAGGGTCAATCCAGCCCAGCCTCTACCCAAGGGAGTGACACTAGATTGTCCTCTCTTTCAAGTTCATGATGGTGTTCCGTCTCAGCATCTGGACACCTTGCTCAACCTCACCAAAGACTTCTACTCAAAACTTCCCAAGTCTTACCTAAGACAGGAGGAAGAGTTCAGTTGCTCATCAGTACCAGGACTCCACTTGGGTGTTTGGAGAAGATCCAGCCCAGTGCCTGCCTTTAGCAGAGATTT